CCTTGGAGGCGGAGATGAGAAACTGCCATGGCATAAGGGAGACCTTCTGCCTCTTTGAGGGTGGTGAACAGATTTCCGCTCGTTTAAGTAGACTTGACAACGGCGCTGAGAGTATGTAGGGTGAGCTATGACAATTAGGCAAGAGGAGGTCGATGCAAGACGAATTAGACTGGTCATCTCACCCGGCAACCCCCCCTGGAATTCGGCGATAGATCTGCAATATTTGTGGATGCCCGAAATCGCCAGCAATTTCTACACTGTTGCGGTGTAGGGAATAACCTTCGAACGTTAACCGATGTCTGCTACATAAACTGAGGATGGGCGTTCACGGCTGTCAAAAGTTAACGAGCCACATTGCTAGGGTATTGTCTCGCCGCGGGCAGGAAGGAACGCATAAGTGTCTACCTTGTGGGGATTGGGGGATTTGGAGTTTCGCTGTTCAAGAATGTCCGTGCCACATGTATGGAAATTTTGTTGAACTATGTATGGGGCAGATTGATGGTTACCACAACAAGAATTGAGGAATGATGCTTTTCAATAGTTACAGAAACTGTATTCGATATGGGAAAGATGAGAAGCTATGAGCATGGGTTGCCTTTTGTCCGTGACGATGCACGTACCGCTCTTAAGAGCATGAAAAGAAATATCATTTACCAACATGGGTAGGAGTGCCGTTGCCAATACTGTGGTCAGAAAGATAGGTAGTAGAGGAAGTCGGTCGTAAAGTGAAGAATTTAGTCCATTGTGCAGTCTGAAACTGAGCGTGGAAAGGTAGTGAAGGAGGTGTCCGATTCTTTTCTGAGAAGAAACGAGAAGGTGGAGAAGTATCATCAGCAGGTAATTGTTCATTGTCGTTTTAGGCGTTGGGACAGAGTTGGTCCGGACGATTAGAACGGGCGGCGATTCGAAAATTGCCGCACCATAGAGGGAGAGGCCGGATGCCATAGTAGAGGAAGAGCGAAGGTCAGATAAATCGAAAGGAGTTCAGTCGAGGCCTCAGTACCTGAAGCGGGTGAGGAGGAAAACAGCCACCGGCAAGAGGTACAGAGGCAGCGGAAGTGTCCGAAGAGTGGTCAATGACGAGGCAGGCGTCAGAACGGGGTGCGGTATCAAGAAGGGGCCCGGGGGTAGCACCCCCAGGATTCATGGACTAGGGCTTGCCATGGTTAGGTTACTTCTTTTCTTTTTGTTTTTAAGGAACAAAAAAGAAAGAAGAAAAGAAAATAAAAATAAAAAAATGAATAAAAAAAGGGGGGACGGGTGGGGATAGTTCCTAGGAGGAATGAAAGTGCCAGGAAATCTCCCTCTGCGCCAAGAGGACTCAGCACCGCAAGTGCGCAGATGCAGCATGGAACCGTGCCATACCCTTACCCATCATGCCAGTAAAACCAGGCAATCCGGGTTAGCAACCTCACATCTGCCGACTACCTCGGTTGGGACAAAAAGAGAGATGGCGGCCGGAATCTGCCACAAAAGCATACCTCCTTCAGCCACACCCCGGAATCGGAAAGGTTGGCTTCCAGAGATTCACCGGATCGCCCGAGAGACACCCAAAGCCACCTCCGGGATACCATACGGAAAGGGATCAGGGACATCCCCAGGCAATCCAGATTCACGGCAAACTACGCACCGCCAGAACCTCAAACGGGAATGGGATGGCGAAATGGGATGGACCCCGGTACCCTTTCCCCTACCTTGGAACTAGCGTGCCTGTAGAAAAAAAAAAAAAAAAAAAAAAAAAACAAAACCCCGGGAAAGGGGGAAAAAAAAAAAATATAGGTTTGGGGGTTTTGGGGGAAATTTGTTTAAAAACCCACATTAAATTTTCCTAACCAAAGGTTTTAAAAGAAAGGATTGGAGGTTTGGGGTCAAACCCCTTCCCCGTTCTTGCAGGGATCCAAACAAATTTTTTAAAAATTAAAATTTTTTAAAAAAATTTTAAGTTAAAAAAAAGTTGTTTCTATATTTAAAAAAAATGTTTTCCAAAGCAAATGTAAAACAAATTAATGGGGTAAATTTTGCCCATTATAATTTAATTTTGGGGCCCTTTGCCCATGTATAATTTAAAGGGGGGGAAATTTTCCATGTATAAGTAATTTGGGGGCTTTCCCCCCGGGGAAAATGTTTTGGGGGCAATATTGCCCATGTATAATGTAATTTGGGGGCTATTGCCTTTTTAAAGTTTTGGGGCAATATTTGTCCAGTTAATGTAATTTGGGGGCCAAATTGCCTGTATAATGTAATTTGGGGCAATTATTCCCATGTAAATGAAATTTTTGGGTTTTCAATATTCCCCCTTTTAAATGAAATTTGGGGGCTAGCCCCTGTGAATTTTGTAATTTGGGGGTCAATATTCCCCAGGGTATAATGTAATTTTGGGGTCAATATTGCCCCCGTATAATGTAATTTGGGGGTAAATTTTTGTCCATTTTAAAATTTAAATTTTGGGGGGCAATTTTTCCCCATGAAATTTTTGTAATTATGGGTCAATATTCCCCCCATGTAAATGTTTTGGGGGTCAATTTTGCCCATGTTATAATGTGTTTTGGGGTCAATATTGCCCATGTATAATGTAATTTGGGGGTCAATATTGCCCATGTATAATGTAATTTGGGGGTCAATATTGCCCATGTATAATGTAATTTGGGGGTCAATATTGTCCATGTATAATGTAATTTGGGGGTCAATATTGCCCATGTATAATGTAATTATGGGTCAATATTGCCCATGTATAATGTAATTTGGGGTCAATATTGCCCATGTATAATGTGATTTGGGGTCAATATTGCCCATGTATAATGTAATTTGGGGGTCAATATTGCCCATGTATAATGTAATTTGGGGGTCAATATTGCCCATGTATAATGTAATGTGGTGTCAATGTTGCCCATGTATAATTTCCTAGAAGTAAAGACTGTGGATAAATGTATGAGGAGTACCAGGAATGAAGCGGCATTCTTGCATTAGTTACGGGTTATGTTATTTCCTATGAATTTCTGCTGTGTTAGTCCCCTTTGTTCGCTCATTTAAAAAAACTGCACCTTCATATGGTGACACGGTCATTTCATTTCGTGGGTAATCAATACGCTTTACTATCTTAAGATTCCTTAAATACGTCTAGATAATACATGACAGTTTACCTGGAGAGGGTTTGGGGGGGTAAAGCCCCCGGGGCCCCGGTCTGAGACCCGGCCTTGTGGTGGTCAGGGTCTGATCAATAGGCGTCACTGTTGGCCGCACGAAAACCCGCCCGTACAACCACAGCCCGGGTTTTTGGTTTTTAATTACATATGAGTGATAGTTCTCAGCAGTCCCGCGGTGTAAAAATTTTAAAGTTCTCTGCTATTCGTTTTCCCTATGTATTCCCACTTAAAGTTCCAAGTGCTTCAGACAGTGGCCATGTCATCAGACACATCCTTAAGAGGTGAGTTCAAAATTCGTTTTTAGGTTAGTGGTTGAGTGTTTTTGCTCTGTAGATCTCCTCCAGCTGCCCCATAGTGTCAGGCAAGGGCTTCTTATTAGTTCTGGCAGCGGGGAGAGGAAAGGCGCCCACTGCTCACAAACCCCAAACACCACTGATGGGACCCCCAAATACGTGCCCTACAACGTACCATATTTTGGGGAAAAAAGCAATTGTTATTCCCTGTGTGGATTTTTCAGAAAAGGATAAATGGTTTACTGCAACACGATTAAATGGGGCATAATAAAGCTATCAAAAATAAACTGTTTGCTCACCAAGACTTTGATGATGAAAGGGGAAAAATGACGAGCCAAGGGAGCCATCTAGAGGAGACGTGAGCCCCCCAGAGCAAGACATTAGGGGGAGCTCGGGGAACCCGAACAGCATACCCTAGCTCCCGTAATAAAGAGCTTCCCTACTAAAGCCAACGGGAAGAAATCCTAGGGTAGTTGAAAGAGGTTTCCTTTTTCTGTTTTCTATATGCATGGGGCCGCTTATTTTATTTTATATATAATATATATTATAATATATATATATATATAATTTATTATATATATATATAATTTATATATATAATTATATATAATTTTTTTGGAGGCAAAGGAGGGGAAAATAAAGTTAAAATAGCCAACACCTTTATGGGTGTGGCTTGGGGGATGAATGCCGCGCGAGGAGACGGTTTTGGGGGCAGTGGGGAAAGTCCTGTTTTAAAGGGGAATGTGTGGTGTAAAATTTTATGCAGAAAAAATTCGGAGTGGGGGAAATTAGGAAAAAGGTGTGGAGTTAAAAAAAAGTATTGCAGAGGGCAGAAGAGGGGTTGTTGAGGTGGTTTGGTCTTTAGAAGAATGGATCAAAGTGAAAGAATGGAGAGATATAAATCTTAGGGGGAAGGAAAGGGGGGTAGGGGTCGTCCTGAAAGAGTTGGAGAGAGGGGGAAAGGGGGTTTTTTGGGCGAGAGGGGTTGGACTTCCAGCAAGCGTGCGTAAGCATGTTAGATAGGGGTGAAAGGAGACGAATGGGATTTGGGGCCCGACAGCTGTTGGAGTGTGAGCAGGGAAAATTTTTTGTGAAGGGATTTAGGGAAACCGGTATTTTCTTTAGTCGGGGCTTGATCCTGGAAAGGGAAGTACAATGCCTGCACTTTAAAAGGGGGGGTTTTGGGGAAATTGGGGTTTTTGGGGGGATTATGTGGGGTTTTTCTTTATACGTATATGTTCTAAATGTTGTATCCTGAGCACCTCTGCAAAAAACAGGGAAAAGTGTGAGTGTGGTGAAAGGTTTAATGATGATGAAATTTTTTTCTTTTGGGGGTTTTTTTCTTTTTTGGGTCACCCTGCCTCGGTGGGAGACGGCCGACTTGTTGAATATATATATATAATATATATATATATATATATATATATATATATATATATATATATATATATATATATATATATATATATATATATATAAATAATAAAATATAATAATAATAATAATAATAACTGGAAAGAATTATTTGGAAACAAAAAAAAGATTTATAATAGAAAACATTTAAATAACGAGATACGTGATAAATTACTCAAAAGTTTATGTATATAATTGGTTGCATATTTTCCACTATTAACGTTCTCTTAATAGAAATAACCTAATATGAAGTATATATGAAAGAGGAAGGCCTACTGGAAGGCGTGACAAGGATGGTGAGTATAGAGGCGGCGCAGACGCTGAAGTTGAAGGCCAAGACAGAGCGGCGACCCAAGTGGGCCACAAAGGGAGTGAAGCCGCTGTAGCCTGGGATCTCCATCAGGGAGCTCAACACCATGTACAGGAAGGGGTCAGTGCTGGTAGTGAGAGGGAAGTGTGTCTTAATGGTTATCCAGTCCTGTTAAAACGTTTATTAACATTATATATAACGTGTATAAAAGCAACGTTTGGCAGTGAGTAGTAGTCTGATGAACCTAACGTCTACTCAATCCAGTGCCATAAATACATATTGTGCCCTATTAACGGTATGTTAGTTTTCAACGTTCACTGTTTACTCCGTTTCTCTTACAACCAACAAATATTTCAAGGACAAATTTTCTTAGTTTTCATTAGCTTGACTTAGCTAAAAAAATTATAAGATATTGGGTATACTACTGAAGCTCCTACACAACAAAGGGGGTTGAACATGCAGTGATTTTCACACTCGGACGTTTGCAAACTCGTTTTTAAGAATGAGAGGTTGTAGAATAGTGATAGAATCACAGGACAGTAAGGGTAACACTGAAATTTGTTATTATTCAAACGAAAGAAATACTGAGTGTCATCCAAACAACTGAACATTTACTTATTTTTTTATTTATAGACGTTTCCTATCAGTTTTAGCATTATTATTATCATCAATTTTTATAGTTCTCTCAAAGGATGAATGAGTTTCCTGAGATCCCCTTAAGACAAAATCTAATTCTTGTGATATATATTTTTCTATGTGCGAAGTATTCCTCACCTGAAAGTAGTACCAGAGAGACTAATGCCCCAGTAGGTGACTCCTGTACAGAACCAGCAGCCAAAGAGTGCTATTGTAATCCTGCGAAGGATAGGGATCCTCGCTAGGATGGACAGGTCCTCCCACCATGTGCGTAGGCAGCACCTTGCTCCAGTGGTCGAGTCTCGGGTTTCACTCCTTTCTTCCACATCCTGTTGATTAGTGAGCATAACATAAGCTCGATAAGAAATGTAGGCTGAAAATCAACAAAATAATGATCACATATATAAATATTCATTATCTTAATAATCTTACAATAACGTAAAAATATATACAGTATCATAACTACTGTTAAGGACTTGGGCCAGATATTATTGCACCCCATTACATAATCTCTTCAGCTGAGCAAGCCATGTTAATGGTGGTTATAATATTACGCATTTTTTTTTTTATTATTTTCATGACACTAAAGATTTCATTCAGATAAACTAACGTTACACTGCTAAGAAAGTGATCGTGCGTGTGTATTATACCTCTGCTATTCTTGGAACGTTGAATATAAAAAAATAGTCAATGTTGCGTCATTACGTTAGCAAAAATGTAGTGAACTATGGTAAGACTGGAACTCAATACTCACAAATCCAGTAAGGCAAATAAAGATTGGTGAACATAAATACAGACGTCATTGTTTATCCGGGCAATTTCAAGAAAAAAAAAGCGGAGGTTCTCCGGGGATTTGGTTACAGCAGCCTTCTGCCGAAAGTAATGACGACAAAACAAGTATAGAACAAACATTAATAGTGACAACCTTTCACTCTACACAGAGCAAAACGTTGTTAGAATAAAATCATCCTGTACGCCTTTTGTTCATTTCGGGGGATTTAGTGAAGTGAAAAACAAGTGCCGGCAGATACTGAGGCTAGAGAAATTAAGAATATCTTGAAAATTGGCAGAGGAGCTACACTTCACAATAATATGAATCTTCATTTTAGTAAGACAATCATTATAAGTTTGAGGTTCGTTAGAAGATATCGTTATCATATAATCTAGAAACCGCACAAACAGGAAAAATAATGAAACTCAAATAACAAATTTATGATTATACAAACATATTTCCACGGTCCACCCTGCTAGACCGCAAATATTTTCTTCAACCACTAATGTAACAGTTACCTCTGAATGGAATTTTGCTAGGAGTTGCTCGAGTTCATTGCGAGGAGGAAGTGTGACGCTGTGCCAACGAGCAGCCTTCATGAGTGTGTTGGCCGCCACCTTGTACCGTCCTTGCATCATCAACCATCTGGGGGACTCGTCCACAAACCTAGTAGTAGAAGGCGCAAGCATTTTCAAACGTGCATGATCATAAAATTTTATATAAGGTATACTGGTGTTAAACAAGGATAACTCAACAAAGTCATTACGATTTATTTACAAAGGGGCTCCATTTCCCCGTGATGTGGCCTACAACAGCCGAGTAATACATAGGTACCTGTTATATACTAAATACAAGTCAATGATACAAGTGTTCACTCAGCACATCGGGTATAACATGCTATGAGTACTATATCTCTATTACAGCGTATATCTTCAAATTGTATCAAACCAGCATGTTTAATTTGTGTCAATCATTACCTAGGTCATATGGAACTAAAAAATAGGAGTCAGTAACAATGCACATCATTATGAAATAATATTTTATATAGAGGACATTATTAACATTTTAGCTCCTTAGCACTTGACCTTAATTAGGTATCTCACAATATATACACGAAGTGTATGTGCAAAATTTATCATACTCTTATTGGGGTGAAAATACATTTTATTGGTGGGTTATTAGTGCATTGATCCACTTGCGGTCGACAGACTTTATACCAACTGAGCCATCTCTGAGTTTCAACTCTCCATTACATGTAGGTGGAAAATCATTTGGAAAACTCACATTTTAAAAAAGACAGGAAGTAAATTATTAATATTACAGTTCCTACTTTAGAAACCTCATCAAATTAATGTATGCTCACCAGGATCAAAAATTTCCAGTACTTCTTTTTCAAAATATGAGTCCTCTGAATGTCGTACATAGTGACTGGCCGCGACTGGGGACTTACGGTATATGGAGGAGGAGCAGTGCTACTGGAAGTGTGCACAGGAGCTGCAACTTGCGCCAGTCGCGAACCAAGTAAGCCCAGGCGCCGAAGAGCATGCCAGTGACGGCAAAGGGAGTAGTGGCGAGTAGACCAAAGATGGTTCGAAACTTGGGTGGGCAAGCCTCAAGACCTTTATAATTATTCAACAGAACTTATTTCTGTAGTTATCTCAGTCTTTATGTTTTATAATAATATAATATAATAATATATGGATCCAATTTAAAAGCAGACAGCGTTGAAATTAGGTCCATCTTTTTGAAACGGTATATTTCCTAAAAGAAAATTAGAAAATGAAATTAAAAATCATTAACTTCAAATTGAGTAATCACTATTTTATCATTATCAACTAAATTTGAATTGATAATGAATAACAAACCTCGTTCAATTATCTACTTTAAGTATGAAGTTTTCAATGCCTTTACAGTACGTCGGCAATTATTGGTAGGGAAGGCGAGAGTCAATTTATTAAATTCATGCATTATTTCTATGTTCCGTTTATTATTGAACAAATAATGGAAGTAATATATATTTTTTCATATAAGTTGCTAATAAATATTCCGAACAGCAAGGAGCCCAACACTAGTTATTGTGAAACGTCACCTGTGACTAGTTCTTATTGTAATTCCTACCCAATTATGAAAATTCTACTGTCTATTAGACGAGTCTCAATAGCCCTAACTAAAGTATTGCTCAAATACATGAAATTAATTTACATTATGTAATGTATCTAATTCTTGTCGCAGTAAAGATCCAGTATGCAATTTAGATCAATTCAGAGGCCAAAGTTATGTGTGAGTATAGTCGAAAAAATGGTTACAAATGATCATTTATCAAGCATAAGTGCATTTTTATCATATATGACAGTAAAACAAAAGTTATTCTATTATATAGACAGACACGATACTCTATGTAAAGTGCTAAATCCGTGTGGGTCATTCAGAGCACCACGAAGGCTAGATCCTTTATCAGCTGACCACGATAAACTGTTAAAAACTTGCACGGAGCAACAGTCTGAGTAGGCGACACCTCAAGTGCCTCTCCAGCGAGTCAACTAAGGGTGCCAGTGAACTTTGGCTATGTTACTTGGTTATTCTTCCTCCAGTATTGAGCTGAACGTTCAATAAGGATTTAGAGTTTTCATGAATATAATAATATTTAAAAATGTATATACGTGTGGAGTACCAACCTTGGATATAAGAGGGGCCGATGATAGTATGAATGACGCCTAGCACAAAGCGGGCAGCCAGCACTAAGGAATAGAGTGGCACCAGCGCTGATGACGTAGCCGTCAGAGTAAACGCCACAATGGAGACTATTACAATCCGCCTTCGTCCATACCTGACGTGAAAGTAGAGAAAAAAATATTTTCTACGTAATATTACTGAACACAGTACAAAATTTTAGAATGACCCATATTAAAAAGAAATAACAAAAGTATTTTTGGTTTAATTCGAGTCCCTTATCAGCTCATTTAATGATAACAGCACTGTGGATGAACGTAATGATGGTGGTAAGATTAATGAGTGTAGATGGTGGTGGGGGGATATCAGTGGCGATATCAACTGTCATAATAAAAAAAAAGACCGCAGAGAACTCATCACAAAAGATTTCCCACGCTTCTTCAGAAATAAAAAGGCACTTAAAAATTAATAGGGCAGGAATGTACAAACCAAATGGACAAGGTCTGTTAGTAAAATCCACTTTTTAAGCTGAGAAACTTACTGTCCAAGGATTTCTATAATGGAGCAAAACTTACGTAAACTTACCATCCTTAGTTGGAATATTACGACTTCCTGACCTTGATCATTAAGTAACCACTGAACCTATTGATCTTTTGTCTACTGGAGAGCAGAGTACTTATAAGATCCCAACCCAAATTACGCTCATTTGTTGAACATAACCTCAAGTCTACTAATGTATTACCTATTCGCTCATCAACATCTTGCCATAAGACCGAGAGGCTTTATTACTATGATGTTAGTATTTATGTAGGGAACCCTGCTCTCAATATGTTAATTTTATATGCTCTTGCTGAGAAGTTGAACTATTTGGACTTTGCACCCTATACTCAGTAGAACGTACTATCATTATTGGTGATTATAATGCTAGACAGACGTGCGCGTCTATCATTGAGAGATTCTTCTCCACTTTCCCATGGAGACGAGAGGAAACAACTAAGAATAAGAACTATTAAGAAAACATAAAAAAACTCAGATGTGTGTGTATACATATACGTGTACATGCCTGTGTAGTGTGACCTAAATGTAAGTAGAGGTAGCGTTTTATGATACACAAAAAACACGAGCAGTCCCACCATATCTCTGTTTCTCACCTGTCACCCAGGAAGCCTAAAAGGGGCTCTCCGACAGCTGTGCCGAAGAAGTAGAAACTCTGGAAGAAGGGGCTGAGGCTGGCCTTCCCACACACAAGGTCCCACTGAGACAAGGAACCTTATTAAGAGCACACATGTATCGTTTGTCTATTTATATATATATAATATATATATATATATATATATATATTATATATATATATATAAAATATATATATATATATATATATATATATATATATATTTTAATATATATATATATATATATATATATATATATATATATAAATATATATATATATATATATATATATATTTTAACAAGTCGGCCGTCTCCCACCGAGGCAGGGTGACCCAAAAAAAGAAAGAAAATCCCCAAAAAGAAAATACTTTCATCATCATTCAACACTTTCACCTCACTCACACATAATCACTTTTTGCAGAGGTGCTCAGAACACAACAGTTAGAAGCATATACGTATAAAGATACAAAATATATATTATATATATATATATATATATATATATATATATATATATATATATATATATATATATATAATATATATATATATATATATATATATGTATATATATATATATATATTATATATATATATATATAATATATATATATATATATATATATATTATATATATAATAGACATGGTAAAAACCTTGGTAATAAATACCGACAAGTTGGTTTAGAAAGACACGTAAGCAAACACTATGACATATTAGAAAACGTTTCGGTCCTGGGACCTTGATCACTTCTAACTGAAGTGAAACGTTTTCTAATAAATATGTCATAGTGTTTGCTTACGTGTCTTTCTAAACCATATAATAGACATACAAGTATGAATGTATCATGCAGCATTTTATAAAAGTTATACATGTATCCATTCCATGTACCATTTTGACGCACATTTTACAGGCTAAGATCTCTTAACGTACCTCAAGTCATTTACCGGCTGAGCTGAAAATCTACCTCAGCTAACGCGACGGTCTGAAGTTTTGAGACTCTCTGACCGCGGGTTCAAATCCCGCCCGTGGTATGGTTTATGAGTACTTACGCTATCTCAGCTCACTTGAAAGTTCATCTCTAAGATATACACATGATATATACAACAAGAGGTATTATGATTCTCAGCTTACTATAATCCCTGTTTTAGGTGCGACAGTATTCTTGCTTGGTGATGAACAGGTTTTATGTAGTCTTAATTACTCTCGTGTAGTCTATGAGCTTCAAATATCTTTAACCAACTAACCTACGTCCTCGCAGAAAGTCCTACCTATGATGTAGATTTATTTTTTTTAAAGAAAACTAACCCATTGTACAACTTTTATTTCAATATTATTCTTGCACTAACCCCACACCTCCACTAAGTTAGCATACTCCTACCCTTCACTCGTAACTTTCGCACTTGCTACTTTCGCACATCACTCCCATCATTGCTATAGGACCTTTAGGGTTTAACGTTTAAGTGGATAATAATAATAGTGTATACTCTCTCCACCCAGGATGCTACCCAGAACAGTTGGCTAGCGCCCAAATACGTATTTATTTCTATGTAAACAGAGGTAGGTGCGAGGAGACTTGCCCATATGTACTCACCTAATTGTACTCGCCTAATTGTGATTTCAGGGGTCGATACTCAGCTCCTGGCCCCGCCTCTGTCTCACCCCAATTGTGAATCAAACTCTGGTCCCTTACGTTATGAAATGAACATTTTCCCATTGAACTAGAGAAGGAAGCAGGGTGCCATATTGCTAGATGCAGTGAAGAGATCTTGACCCAATTAATTGGAGCTACCCTAACCTCCCTTGAATCAAAACTGATTACCTCCCATTTTCTCCATAAATATAAGTATAATCTTTCTCTCTCTCTCTCTCTCTCTCTCTCTCTCTCTCTCTCTCTCTCTCTCTCTCTCTCTCTCTCTCTCTCTCTCTCTCTCTCTCTCTCTCTACATACAAGCACGCTGACCTCGCATAAAATCCAACACAATTACTCAACGATTTCAGGGGATGGAACGGGCTTGTCTCCGGGGTTGGGTATACACAACAGCTGGTTTACTGTGTGTATCTGTGTAATGCGTGGTTGAGGAAAATGTGGTTGTGTGAGTGGATGTGGTGGTGAAGTTATATGTGTTATAGATGTCTTAAGTCAGAGTCTACTGCCTTCTTTCTTTGTTGAAGTACTTGATGTACCTTTCGGCTATGGCCTGGCAAACGGGGTTTTATGTGTTTGCACTGAGCATTTTATTGCTATATTATATAATGTGTATAGCCTGTAGATGAGTGCGGAATGCTTATGGCTATTCTAGTTTTGTGGCTGACTCGTAAGACTTGTGGTAAGGCGAGTATGTGTGACTGTAGGGAACTTATGTACTGGGAGTTAGGTGAGTAAGAGTATGTACTTTGTTATGAGATTGTGATGTAGGTTCTTTCGGTTATCGATTATTTGTGTTGGATGTGAGTAACCGATATATTTATATATTTATCATAATATTCTTCTTATTGTATTGTATAGTGCATTGGCAATATGTCCCAGTATATTATGTAAATAGTGTATACCCGAAGGGATTATGGTTTTATTTATATTATTGAACCTGCTACAGGGGTCACCTACATGTTATGTTCTTGTTGTTGTTCTTGTGTACATAGGGTTAAGATTGCCCATCTTCTTAATGTTATGTTTTGTCACAAGCGATATTTTCTAGTATAATTGTGTAACCTCTTGTGTTTGTTAATATTGTGTTTGTTATTTGCTATTGTACGTTCTGAGAGATTGTTTTTCTGGTGTTTTCACGGTCGCTCTTACGTGCTAGAACTTTAATTTGTGTCATCAATCCTATACGATACATCCCTCTAGCGCCTGGAACCAATCTTGGGCGGAAAACATTATATACTGAGTAAAAAAAGGAGAATTAGTGTGCACTTCCTAGCAGAGTTTACTGCCAGAGGGGAATCATAGGCCTGTCCCGTGTGGAAAAATAATAATATTGAACTTTGTGTCAGAGGAAAGAAAGTCTCCCTGAAAGCATTGAGTATACATAGTGTATAGTGTATACTACAGTGGCTCCTAGTATATTGATGATAAAGGCTAAAGTGTCATTTTGAAAACAGGTGAATTTGTAAATGAAGTGATAAGCCTATAGAGGCAGGTGCCAGAAGTCGCCAGAAACTTACCACAGGTCAGCTGTTTTTAATAATCTTCCTGGCCTGCTAGTGTACTCGCATATAATCTAGTGATACCAGTGAATAGCAGAATACAGTGTTGTAGTAGCAACTAACCAGTATTATAATGGTACTTAGTGAAGTGGAGTGACTTTCATTAGTTTCTTTTTCTTGAAATACCAGACGTTACTGTGAATTTCATATAACCTGTAGTTACCAGCGGTCGCAATATACACAACGAGAAGCAATTATTACTACAGAAAAAGCGCCCTTCCTCCAAAATTTGCACCAGTCAACTATAGTGATAATATAGCATTTATTGTGGTGGAGACGGAAAAAAAAATAGAGAAGCTAGATACAGCGATTGATAAACAAAGGTGGAGGCTCGACCGTTCGTCATTGTAGGAGTGCCAGCAGTCACCGGCTCTTCAACACGCAAGTTATACTTTTGTATCAATCAAATCACATATTACTCGGGTAGAAATTTTCCAGTAGATCCTTCATGTGTTAGCTCAAATCACCGACCAGTATGGTTTAAATAAGTGACCCACTGATCAGATCAGATAGACTGGTCCGAACCCTTGACTGGTCCGAACCCTTGACTGGTCCGAACCCTTGACTGGTCCGAACCCTTGACTGGTCCGAACCCTGGACTGGTTTCAAACGGTTTCGTTGTGCACCACCTAGCAGGTTATTAACAGAATATTCAAGAGGTTGCTAGTAGAATTGCAGTAAATCAACCATTCAAATCATTATGAAGCTGTGTGTAGTCTGTGGTCAGTCAAACAAACGGGCTTCCACATGCATAAATTGTCATTTCTGTGGAAATTGGTGTCACGCCCCTTGTGCAGATATCCAAGAACTAGCTACAAGCAGTATTAAAACAGGGAAGTGTTTTTGGGTATGCCCAAATGAGATAAATCTGTGGACTAAAATCACAAGGGTATTAAAAGAGGTCAACATCAAAGCTGCTTTCATAGAAAACCTGGAAGCTTTCTACAACAGATGGGAACATAAAAAGTCCGGGCTGAATGGTACTGCCCTTGATACTGGCCATGTAGTCAGAAACTGTTAAGGCTGGAGATGATGTCCTGGTAGTCAGTAAATGGGGGGCTGATAGTGCTGTCCTGGGAGACAGTAATGGGGAAGCTGGAGGTGCTGTCCTGGGAGACAGTAATGGTGAAGCTGGAGGTGCTGTCCTGGGAGACAGTAATGGTGAAGCTGGAGATGCTGTCCTGGGAGACAGTAATGGGGAAGCTGGAGATGCTGTCCTGGGAGACAGTAATGGTGAAGCTGGAGATTTTGTCCAGGTAGTCGGGAATTATACGCAGGAAGGAATACATATGAATGACCGCATAGGGGACAGGAGCCATAGTAGGGAAACAAGTGTAGTCAAAGATAAGATAAAACCAATATTGCAAACTAGAAATACCGCAGGAAATAGCAAACAAGAGGACTCCACTAGCAATAGTGAGGATATATTACCAAAAACAAATGGTGGGAGCTCCATTGTTGGTGCTAGGGAGGATAGAAGTAAGACAGGGAAACATGCACCAACAGGGAATACAGTCACAGAAACCCAAGGCAAACGGAAACCAAGCCTGTGCACATACTATGCACTCGGTATCTGCTGGCATGGGAAATCTGGAAAAACAGATGGGACGTGCAACTATGACCACCCTAGGAAATGCCATGCCCATATGACAACAGGAAAATGCAAACTCCCTTCCTGTAAGCTTTTTCACCCTGAACTGTGTACCTCTTCAGTACAGGAAAGACTGTGCTATAACTTAAATTGCCGGCATACCATCTAAAGGGGACAAAAAGATACAAAGCATCCAGGCATGGGAAAACCTGGGTAGCCACAGCCACTCAAGAGGGAGAGGTTTTTTAGTGCCAGGAAGGAAAAAAAACTGGCAGGAAATGGCAGAAATCGTACACCAAATCCAGTCATTCCTGGAGTGGAACCACAGTCGATGGCCTCCACTCCAAACCAACAGATACAGATACTAATGCCGGAAAAAAAATCCCCCCCAGTACCAACAATACCACCAGTCCGATAACATTCTTCTTTGCAAATATACAGGGTCTAAAGCCAGCAACAAAACAACAAAATACCTTTCATCCGTGGACTGCTTGCAGAGGCAAAGGCAATGTTCGCGGCTTTCACTGAGACCCACATAAAGGATCACTTGGACAACGAAATATGGATCCCAGGTTACAACCTATACAGATGTGACAGAGTGAACAGGCAAAAGGGGGGGGTTGGCCTGTACATTGCAGAGTCACTTGTTTGCACAGAACTGCTAAATGCCTCAAATGATGTAGTGGAAGTTTTAGCAGTAAAGGTCGAGAACCAAAACCTAGTCATTGTGATAGTCTACAAGCCTCCGGATGCAACATCCCAGCAATTCCAGGAACAGCTGTTAAAAATTGACCACTGTCTGGAAAACCTTCCAGCTCCTGCACCCAACATCTTGCTCCTGGGGGATTTCAACTTAAGGCACCTAAAATGGAGGAATATAGCAAATAATATTGTTGCAGTAATAACACCAGGAGGCAGCTCTGATGAAAACTCCACTCACGCGAGCTTTTAAATCTCTGCACAAAATTCAATTTAAACCAGCAAATAACAGAGCCTACTAGACTGGAGAATACACTAGACCTCATCTTCACTAACAATGATGATCTGATAAGAAAATATCACCATATCAAAAACAATATACTCAGATCACAACATAATTGAGGTTTCAGTCATGTATGCGCGGAGCCCCAGACCGACATAATGAGATTAGTCACGAGGGAGCATTCACCAAATTCAACTTCAATAACAAAAACATAAAGTGGGACCAAGTAAACCAAGTCCTAACCGATATAAGCTGGGAAGATATACTAAGCAACACAGACCCCAACTTATGCCTAGAACAGATTAACTCGGTAGCACTCGATGTATGCCAAGGCTTATTCCTCTAAGAAAAAGGAGGAGTAGATGTAAAACAGAAAGAGACAGGCGCTCCCTTTACAGGCGACGGAAAAGAATAACAGAGCGGCTAAAAGAGGTCAATATATCTGAAATGCGTAGGGAGACACTGGTCAGAGAAATAGCAAGCATCGAACTTAAGCTAAAAGAATCCTTTAGGAGTCAGGAATCGCGGGAAGAACTAAAAGCCATAAATGAAATCGAAAGAAACCCAAAGTATTTCTTCTCCTATGCCAAATCAAAATCGAGAAAAAACGTCCAGTATTGGGCCCCTACTTAAACAAGATGGGTCCTACACAGATGACAGCAAGGAAATGAGTGAGTACTCAAGTCCCAATATGACTCAGTTTTTAGCAAGCCGCTAACCAGACTGAGAGTCGAAGATCAAAATTAATTTTTTATGAGAGAGCCACAAAATTTGATTAACACAAGCCTATCCGATGTTATCCTGACGCCAAATGACTTCGAACAGGCGATAAATGACATGCCCATGCACTCTGCCCCAGGGCCTGACTCATGGAACTCTGTGTTCATCAAGAACTGCAAGAAGCCCCTATCACGAGCCTTTTCCATCCTATGGAGAGGGAGCATGGACACGGGGGTCGTCCCACAGTTACTAAAAACAACAGACATAGCCCCACTCCACAAAGGGGGCAGTAAAGCAACAGCAAAGAACTACAGACCAATAGCACTAACATCCCATATCATAAAAATCTTTGAAAGGGTCCTAAGAAGCAAGATCACCACGCATCTAGAAACCCATCAGTTACACAACCCAGGGCAACATGGGTTTAGAACAGGTCGCTCCTGTCTGTCTCAACTATTGGACCACTACGACAAGGTCCTAAATGCACTAGAAGACAAAAAGAATGCAGATGTAATATATACAGACTTTGCAAAAGCCTTCGACAAGTGTGACCATGGCGTAATAGCGCACAAAATGCGTGCTAAAGGAATAACAGGAAAAGTCGGTCGATGGATCTATAATTTCCTCACTAGCAGAACACAGAGAGTAGTCGTCAACAGAGTAAAGTCCGACTCAGCTACGGTGAAAAGCTCTGTTCCACAAGGCACAGTACTCGCTCCCATCTTGTTCCTCATCCTTATATCCGACATAGACAAGGATGTCAGCCACAGCACCGTGTCTTCCTTTGCAGATGACACCCGAATCTGCATGACAGTGTCTTCCATTGCAGACACTGCAAAGCTCCAGGCAGACATCAACCAAATCTTTCAGTGGGCTGCAGAAAACAATATGAAGTTCAACGATGAGAAATTTCAATTACTCAGATATGGTAAACATGAGGAAATTAAATCTTCATCAGAGTACAAAACAAATTCTGGCCACAAAATAGAGCGAAACACCAACGTCAAAGACCTGGGAGTGATCATGTCGGAGGATCTTACCTTCAAGGACCATAACATTGTATCAATCGCATCTGCTAGAAAAATGACAGGATGGATAATGAGAACCTTCAAAACTAGGGAGGCCAGCCCATGATGACACTTTCAGGTCACTTGTTCTATCTAGGCTGGAATATTGCTGCACACTAACAGCACCTTTCAAGGCAGGTGAAATTGCGACCTAGAAAATGTACAGAGAACTTTCACGGCGCGCATAACGGAGATAAAACACCTCAATTATTGGGAGCGCTTGAGGTTCCTAAACCTGTATTCCCTGGAACGCAGGAGGGGGGAGTACATGATTATATACACCTGGAAAATCTAGAGGGACTAGTACCGAACTTGCACACGAAAATCACCCACTACGAAAGCAAAAGACTTGGCAGACGATGCACCATCCCCCCAATGAAAAGCAGGGGTGTCACTAGCACGTTAAGAGACCATACAATAAGTGTCAGGGGCCCGAGACTGTTCAACTGCCTCCCAGCACACATAAGGGGGATTACCAACAGACCCCTGGCAGTCTTCAAGCTGGCACTGGACAAGCACCTAAAGTCAGTTCCGGATCAGCCGGGCTGTGGCTCGTATGTTGGTTTGCGTGCAGCCAGCAGCAACAGCCTGGTTGATCAGGCTCTGATCCACCAGGAGGCCTGGTCTCAGACCGGGCCGCGGGGGCGTTGACCCCCGGAACTCTCTCCAGGTAAAATCCAGGTATATACAATGTGTATCAACCCTAGTTTAAGGGGTTTTTATGTTAAGCTATGTATTGTATTTTAAATAAAAAAAAAAAAATTACTCAACGTATATGTATCTGTCAAAACATGTAGAAATAATATATATTTACCACGAATAATGTATAACAGAAACCCAGGAAGACTTATCAATTCGCTAAATTACAACTTCTCCATTACAGACTTGTTTCGAACAAGGCCAGGAAAGTGCTTTAGTTCCTTAATTAACTATGACACTTAGTGTACAAACTGCACAAACCCTCATTGATCTTGAAGTCCACATAAAAAAAACTGACAATTACCGGAGTGGTAATTTTAACAATTATTATTTATTAGTGGACTGCATGTATACAAACATTAACAAGTAATTAGAACCGCTTTCGAAATTGCCAAAAAAAAAGTCACAGAAATAGTTGCCCTGTAATCTGTGATCTTCCATTAATAGCTAGAGGAAAGAGAATTCGTTTGTAATTTTAACTACTGCATTAGCACGAGGTTTTTGAACAGCCAATAAATTATTACACATGCAGCTCGAATGGAAATATGACAAAATGTTTGCTAAAGAATTAATGTAACATCCCAAATGTAATTTTACGCGATGAAACAAGACTAATGTAAAAATATTATGACAATATGGGAAGTATAAGAATTATTTTCAGAAAAGATGAAAGCAGTAGGCTACATTTCCAGTGATTCAGCCTACATGTTAATTTATTAAGGATAGGCTTACTGTCATATATCTGTTATACCCTAAAGTTTAAGGTACGCAGCTGTATAATACTATAATGATGTAATCTCAATGAAGATAAGATAAGATAAGATAAGATTTCGTTCGGATTTTTAACCCCGGAGGGTTAGCCACCCAGGATAACCCATGTCAGTGCGTCATCGAGGACTGTCTAACTTATTTCCATTGGGGTCCTTAATCTTGTCCCCCAGGATGCGACCCACACCAGTCGACTAACACCCAGGTACCTATTTGCTGCTAGGTGAACAGGACAACAGGTGTAAGGAAACGTGTCGAAATGTTTCCACCCGCCGGGAATCGAACCCGGGCCCTCCGTGTGTGAAGCGGGAGCTTTAGCCACCAGGCCATCAGGCCACTAAAAACCTGAGTTAATTACTTTAATTGCTTGATAACTCAAAAGCTCCTGTATGGCCATTAACCTCTAGTCTTTTTTTGGCCTAATTTGGCGCTAATTTTTTGTATTTCAAAATTATTTTGTTGAAGCAGAAGAATGCATTTCCAGTAGAAACACTGTAATCTTGATAGTTTTACAGTAACGTAAAAATACCAGAAAAACTATTAAGAAAAACTTTAATCTGTATCACTGGAGCTTATCAGTTCACACTAATAAAAGAGCCATGTGAAATGACGCACTAACACAGATTCTTTAATATTATTTTGTTCACTCAGAGTAACAATAACAATAATAGGCCTCACCTCCATAGATACAGTAGAGGAGAAGACAGATGTGTCATATTCCCAGTGGTCACAAGATTGTGTCTCCAATAAACTTTCCTCCTCCTGGGAAACCACAAGATCAGGGGTCCAAGGCAGCTGCGCCACAGCCTCGTAATCTCTTACGAACATGCGGCATTGTGACCTCTTCAGTTGTTCACCGTTGTCTTCCCTGCAAAACATAAGCCTTCGTCAGGAATTAAAGATCAAGTTTAATAAACACATCAACTGCACTAACACCCCCACAGAAGCTGAATACTGTGTTGAAGATGTTTATTTTAATCAAGAGGAAATATTCACGTTCAGTCCAAGTAACGAGAGGAAAAGTCCAACCTCTGTTTTAGAGCTCCAGAGTGAGAAATATAGAGCACTGTCATATTTTCGACTTTGTATTCCTCACCAAGAAATATTAATGTGTGCATACTTATCACCTTGAATGAAACATCTGTAGAAACTATTTTGAACAACACATATTCCACGCATAATTTAGTTACGAGTCACTGACTCGTAACTAAATGACGCCTGTTGCTTCTGGCTCGAAGTCAGAAGCAACAGGCTTGTGTCAGTTAACTAACACATGAACTGTATGCAAGGGTTCTAAAGGAATGTAAAGAGGAGCTTAGCACACCTTTGGCTAATATTTTCAACATATCACTACAAACTGGCATGGTGCCAGATAAGTGGAAAATGGCAAATGTGATACCTATTTTCAAAGCAGGTGACAGGTCCTTAGCTTCAAACTATAGACCAATAAGCCTAACCTCCATAGTGGGAAAATTTATGGAATCAATAATTGCCGAGGCAGTTCGTAGCCACCTTGAAAAGCATAAATTAATCAACGAATCTCAGCATGGTTTTACAAAGGGGCGTTCCTGCCTTACGAATTTGTTAACTTTTTTCACTAAGGTATTTGAGGAGGTAGATCATGGTAATGAATATGATATTGTGTACATGGACTTCAGTAATGCTTTTGACAGGGTCCCACATCAGAGACTATTGAGGAAAATTAAGGCACATGGAATAGGAGGAGAAATTTTTTCCTGGATAGAGGCATGGTTGACAAATAGGCAGCAGAGAGTTTGCATAAATGGGGAGAAATCAGAGTGGGGAAGCGTCACGAGCGATGTTCCACAGGGATCAGTGTTGGGCCCCCTGCTGTTCACAATATACATAAACGACATAGATGAAGGCATAAAGAGCGACATCAGCAAGTTTGCCGATGACACCAAAATAGGCCGTCGAATTCATTCTGCGAGGACATTAGAGCACTCCAGGAAGATTTGAGTAGACTGATGCAGTGGTCGGAGAGGTGGCAGATGCAGTTTAATATAGACAAATGCAAAGTTCTAATGTTGGACAGGACAATAACCATGCCACATATAAACTAAATAATGTAGATCTTAATATTACGGATTGCGAAAAAGATTTAGGAGTTCTGGTTAGCAGTAATCTGAAACCAAGACAACAGTGCATAAGTGTTCGCAATAAAGCTAATAGAATCCTTGGCTTTATATCAAGAAGCATAAATAATAGGAGTCCTCAGGTTGTTCTTCAACTCTATACATCCTTGGTTAGGCCTCATTTAGATTATGCTGCACAGTTTTGGTCACCGTATTACAGAATGGATATAAATGCTCTGGAAAATGTACAAAGGAGGATGACAAAGTTGATCCCATGTATCAGAAACCTTCCCTATGAGGATAGACTAAGGGCCCTGAATCTTCACTCTCTAGAAAGACGTAGAATTAGGGGGGATATGATTGAGGTGTATAAATGGAAGACAGAAATAAATAAAGGGGATGTAAATAGTGTGCTGAAAATATCTAGCCTAGACAGGACTCGCAGCAATGGTTTTAAGTTAGAAAAATTCAGATTCAGGAAGGATATAGGAAAGTACTGGTTTGGTAATAGAGTTGTGGATGAGTGGAACAAACTCCCAAGTACAGTTATAGAGGCCAGAACGTTGTGTAGCTTTAAAAATAGGTTGGATAAATACATGAGTGGGTGTGGGTGGGTGTGAGTTGGACCTGATTAGCTTGTGCTACCAGGACGGTTGCCGTGTTCCTCCCTTAAGTCAAGGTGACCTGACCTGACTAGGTTGGGTGCATTGGCTTAAGCCGGTAGGAGACTTGGACCTGCCTCGCATGGGCCAGTAGGCCTGCGGCAGTGTTCCTTCGTTCTTATGTTCTTATATATTAATGATTGCAGTTATTACCTACAACAGTAGGAAGTTCAGGTAGATTTTTTCAAGGGAACGACTCTACCTAAAATGAGATATCATCAAGCACCTTATGGAAAAACCAGCATTTACCTAAAGATGAAGGCTGCCAGTCTCTGAAAATAGGACAGTTCTCCTTTTTGCTGCTTCCTCTAGACCCATTTTCTTTGTATGCGATGGAATTTTCCTACGGAAAGATGCCATATATGACTCACGAAATCTTAATGACACGATTGCAAACAAACCATACCACGGGCGGGATTTGAACCCGCGGTCAGAGAGTCTCAAAACTCCAGACTCTCTGACCGCGGGTTCAAATCCAGCCCGTGGTATGTTTTTTTTTAGATGCCAGATACTTTAGAAATTAGATATAAAAATCTTGTATAATGATAACGATATGAAGTCTGACGGCATGTTGCTGGTAGTTATCATGTCATTAATGTTGTGATTGCTAGGTCATTACTAAATATTTAATGTCGATGGGCTTCTGTTTGCTTTCTACTGCTACTTTTTTAATATCTTGCCTTCATCTCTCTGGCACGTGGCACTGGTCTGCTTGATGCCAACTCATTCTAGCTAGAGTCGTTCTCTTGAGCGGATCTACCGAGACTTCCTACTCATTTCTGCAAGTCCTGATGTGCTGAGTGCAACACGAAAGGCCTAGAGCTATCATTCAAATCCCCCCGTGGTTTTGAATATTATATGCTTATATAGATGAACAGATTATGCTGTTCCCTTCCCTTAAAAAAAAAACTACCAGTGATAATTAAATGCTTGAATAAAATCAAGATAACAATATGTAACATTAGAGATGCTAGGCAAGGATGTAGGGTACTGAAACTACCAAAAGTATTACCAAAGAAAATAATTTAAAACTAAATTTTTTATGTAGTCTCCAACTTAGTTCATTTATTCAACTAAATATAAATCAAATTATTCGAATTAACTCAAAATTAACAGGCCGTTGCCCAGCATTTTTTTTTCTAAAATGTTTTGGTAAATATATGAAGAGGGCTAAGGAAGAGTGAACGAGGGTATGGAAGAGTGAACGAGGGTATGGAAAAGTTAACGAGGGTATAAAGGCGTGAGCGAGTTTAAGAAGTGAATGGGAATAAGAAGTGAACGAGGGTATAAAGAAATGAACAAGGTATGAAAGTAGCAATGTACAGAGTGCACTAGAGTACCGACAAAGGTATGAAACCGTAGATCATAGTATGGGGTACATATTGGTATATCTGGTAGTGCACTACAGTATACCAGGGAATGGAGTAGTTCAGGCGCTGCTCAAGGGTCCAGTTAGAGTTATCGAACTCTGGCACTCGACACCAGTGAGCCACAGTGGGATTGTAAAAGGCACCTCCCAGGGAGAAATAAGGCAGCAACAACGTCCCTGCAACGTATAAAGATATATAATAATAATAATAATAATAATAATAATAATAATAATAATAATAATAATAATAATAATAATAATAATAATAATAATTTACTTACATCGATCATTACAGAATATAAAGTATGAATTATTAACGAGTTTATATTTCAGTAACCATCTGTGCCATACACACAGTATTAACATAGTGCTAGAAAGGAGAACTAAGTCATCTTATAATACCACTCTAGTTAAGGGTGCAACGTGTTCTTCAATTACTAATGCTAATATTATTCTATATTTCGGTTTAGCCCAACTAGAGGAAAATTTTGGAAGCCTGGTGGTATACGTCTAATAAGCTAGGCGTACTATGAAATTTCGAGCGCATTTTCACAAGCATGGTGAAAAACATAGATGAAGGGTTGAATTCAGGTACTTACATAATATATACGAACTGAACATGAGGAATGTCCACCGTCCTATACCCAGAGTGGTGAGTAGGCAATCGAAGTTGGCGTACTGCTTCATGGTCGACCAGGAGGGTACATTACCACCCCCTTTAGCTGCCAAGAATGTTGCACAAGGGGTGCGAGAAAACGGAGTGACTATGTTTAAGATGCTTTGACTAGCATTGTTATTAGCACAGGAGAGTTGTTGTTGATTTCAGGTGGATTGTTTATGACACTACAAATTATAAATTAACAAAACTATGTTATAAGTCAGCAACCTGCGGTCCTTGGGGAAGTTGAATGTGATCCTCTGAATCTGTTAGAAAAATAAATAATACTGTATATTTTTGTATATTTACTAAATCGATAAGTAAAGACAATATTTTTGAGAAAATATCCAACACTATATGTGTTGACTGCTGAACTGATAAAAAAAAAAAAGTTAATAATACGAGAATGTTAAAATAAAGAGAGATAATGTCTAACTTTAAAATATAGCAACAAATTTCAAATTAAATCATTTAGGTACAATATTATTAATCATAACTCAAGAAATCGTAATGACACGATTGCAAACAAACCATACCCCCGGCCGGGATTGAACCCGCGGTCATAGAGTCTCAAAACTCCAGCCCGTCGCGTTAGCCACTAGACCACGGGCTGGAGTTTTGAGACTATGACCGCGGGTTCAATCCCGGCCGGGGGTATGGTTTGTCAGCTCCTGGCCCCGCCTCTTCACCGAGTGCTGCTAGGTCCTCTCTCTCCCTGCTCCATGAGCTTTATCATACCTCATCTTAAAGCTAGGTATGGTTCCTGCCTCCACTACCTCACTTGCTAGGCTATTCCACTTCCTGACTACTCTGACAAGAAATATGTGTGTGTGTGTGTGTGTGTACTCACCTAGTTGAGGTTGCAGGGGTCAAGTCCGAGCTCCTGGCCCCGCCTCTTCACTGGTCGCTACTAGGTCAATCTCCCTGAACCTTGAGCTTTATCATACCTCTGCTTAAAGCTATGCATGGATCCTGCCTCCACTACATCGCTTCCCAAACTATTCCCTTTTTGACTACTATGTGTGTGTGTGTGTGTGTGTGTGCAAAACAACCACTGTGAAAAGAAATAGTGAAATTTCAAGCGCTTTCGTGACTTTTCACATTATCAGTGTGAGAAGTCACGAAAGCTCTTGGAAAATTTCACTATTTTTTCACTGTTGTTGTTCTGCATATTGTATATCACTGTTTACTGTGACCTTATTGCATTATATATATATATATATATTATATTATATATATTATATATATATATATATAAAATTTATATATATATGTCGTGCCGAATAGGCAGAACTTGCGATCTTGGCTTAAATAACAACGCTCATCTTGCCATACGGGACAAGTGAAAATTTGTGTATGCAATAATTTCGCCAAAATCATTCTGAACCAAACGAAAAAAAATATATTTCACTGTGTTTATTTAGTATTAAATTATTGTAAACAAATCTAAAATATATTTAGTTGAGTTAGGCTAAAATAAATTGCGCTTGTTGTAATAAGGTTAGGTAAGTTTTCTAAGTTCCTTTTGGTGCAACATTATAAACTTTTACATCAACATTAATGAAAAAAATATATCTTTAAACGTATAAGAGAAAATTTTAGAAAGGACTTAATTTTAAATGAGTTCTTGCTAATTGGCCAGTTTTACATATTCGGCACGACATTTTATATATAAAATATATATTATATATATATATATATATATTATATATATATATATATTTATATATATATATATAATAAATACCATGACTCATTAGTTGCATGTGTCTGTTTACCTAAAACATTGCTGGTAATCTTACTAATATTTATTCAGTGAAAGTGTTTATATGCCTTGAAGTCTCATCAGGCTGCTGCTATTAAAATGGCTGCAACAAAATCTTCGCTTCGAAGAGAAAAATGAGAATGCAGTTCATTCAGTGTGAGGCAGACTAATGATTATGTTCTTCGTTGATTTAACAACAAAACCATTTTTCCTAATGCGCAATAAAAGTATTTTTAAGAAGTAGAATTTTAAAAGGCACTATTAATCACGCCACAAGAACTTATCGTTTTAAGAGGGAAATTTGCTAAGAAACTGGTTTATTGAAAAGTATACATGCTTTAACAGTAAGACATTTTTCAAAGGTGTAGTAGTGGCGGTATAATGTTGAATGAGAAGTTGATGGGTAAAATAATGGAGAAAAATGTTCCCAGACAAGATTGTATTTGGAATGAGTTTGTCTGTAGCTACAATCAAGAGGGCTGATAATGATAAAAAAAAACTGTATTAAATAATGAATGACTTGGCAAAATATTTTAAATATTTCTTTTTGGAACTGTCGTGCCGAATGGGTAAAACTTGTGATTTTGGCTTAAATAGCAACGCTCTTCTTGCCGAAAAAAGCAAGCGAAAATTTGTGTGTGCAATTATTTCGCAAAAATCATTCTGAACCTAACGAAAAAATATATTTCATTGTGTCTTTTGATTATTAAATTACTGTAAAGTTATCTAAAATATATTTAATTGCATTAGGCTAAATTAAACTACGCTTGTTATAATAAGGTTAGGTAAGTTTTCTAAGGTTCTTTTGGTACAAAATTATTAATTTTTACATTAACATAAATGAAAAAATATATCTTGAAATGTATAATGAGTTTTGTTAATTGAACAATTTTTACCTATTCGGAACGACAGAACTAAATTAAAGCAACGACATCCTGAACTGCTCAACTTCTTATTGTTATACGTCAGTTACCAGAAACTTTTCGATAAAATACCACATAGACTGCAAACTTATGCCCAAAAATTAATGGTAATAGTAAACAGGTTTTAAAATGCAAATACGAATACCTAATAGTAAAATATTCCTCGGGGATCGATTCTGAAGGCGAAATACGGGCTGAACACTACGAATATATAGTAATCAAGATCGTTCCATGGCCCAGTCATTTTCATAATATACGTAAATTATTTCGAGAGCGTCTTCTGTTTCACTATCATAAACAGTTATCTTGACAGAAGTATAGGTATTAGGGCATATCAGATAGTATTGATACAGACCACAAGACCTGCTATCCGCATTTCTCATATACACGTTAATTATCAGCGTCGTTAATTATCAGCGTCGTTTGCTGATAGACCTTAATTCTGACAAATTAATTTATGTGATATATATAAAAGTTCGTTCCTTTTGTAAAGCTGTTAGCTATTTGTGAATCAGTAAAGTTTATGCCGGCTCTTATTCTCTGTATTAAACGACTCTCAGGCACTAATTAATTATTTGTTCTTCATTAAATCATTTCCAATAGATGTTTGTTGTTATGTAAACGCTATTTTCTCAAGCACACAGTCCACTCCTTTACAATAGAGAAGATGAAACCGATAGGTTAAGCTTTCATCTGGCGTGATGTGAATGTTGGCAGTGAGAGAGCAGCAGCTTCCTTCCCCACCACAGCCAATAACAACACTGCAACTCTCAGGGGTACCTGCGTACAACTTTATAATCTTACTACTCACACGTGGAAGCTGCCAAAAGTGAGCCCCAATGTCGTAGCAGTGGGGGGTAGTATGTGGATTAGATGGGTGATCATGTGGATACAGCTAGCTCATACTTGCATCATTGTGTATTATCGATGGTTGCATCTCTCAGCCAAGCCTAGACAGCCCGCACTATGATCAAAATCCTTAAAACTCGGCTTTGAATGTCTATAGGTAGTAGATTCGCCGGTATGATCGTCCAGCCCGGGCCTTTTCCAAGAGGTGGCCCGGCCTTGGCTCCCTGTCGTGGGCATGCCTCAAAATAATATCTGCCATGAGAGGAAGCACAAGTACCTCGTCTTCTGGGACCAGCTGTACCCAGGCCTAGCACCATTCCTCGCCCCCACGGGGCTCGTAGGGAGAAGCTAAGCACCTTGGGCTGCCACAACCACTGCCCACACTTGGCTCGAAGGGTGTGGCAGCTGTATAGCAGCAGAGGATGTCAGGAGGTGCAAAGGCAGCAAGCACTACAGGATCCTTTTGGAGCCACACTCCAACTTTGGAAGCTCAAGAATGCCTCTTGCTGTGTGTATTGCTGCTGCTGCTACGTCATTTGTCCGTTGCACTCTCCTCATATATATGTCAAAGAAACTCACGCGGTTTTTGCGGCATAATGGAATAATAATAAATTATTCTATTGCTAAGACCAGCAAGCTAAACAGTCTCCAGTGATGATAAACGATTTGTTTGTTTAGTACATATTTCCTCCGGTATTCACCAGGTGTGTTCTGTTGTTTTTTTATGGTAATATGGGTTAACATATACTATATGAATGCTCCTCAGCACACGCAATCACATACACACAGGAGTTGTGAATCGACCCCTGCAACCACAATTAGGTGAGTACACACACACACACACTACAGAGGGATCTGGACAGACTGCAGGCCTGATCCAGCAACTTGGCTCCTGGAGTTCAACCCCACCAAGTGCAAAGTCATGAAGATTGGAGAAGGGCAAAGAAGACCACAGACGGAGTACAGCCTAGGGGCCAGAGCCTACAAACCTCACTCAAGGAAAAAGATCTTGGTGTGAGTATAACACCGGGCACATCTCCTGAGGCGCACATCAACCAAATAACTGCTACAGCACACGGGCGCCTAGCAAACCTAAGAACAGCATTCCGACATCTAAATAAGGACTGATTCAGGACCCTGCATACTGTGTACGTTAGGACCATATTGAAATATTCAGGACCAGTTTGGAACCCTCACCTAGCCAAGCATGTAAGGAAACTAGAGAAAGTGCAAAGGTTTGCAACAAGACTAGTCCCGGAGCTAAGGGGTATGTCCTACGAGGAGAGGTTAAGGGAAACCGACCTGACGACACTGGAAGACAGGAGAGATAGGGGGGATATGATAACGACATATAAAATACTGAGAGGTATAAACAAGGTGGACAGAGACAGGATGTTCCAGATATGGGACACAGCAACAAGGAGTCACAGTTGGAAGTTGAAGACTCAGATAACTCACAGGGATATTAGGAAGTATTTCTTCAGAGTTGTCAGGAAGTGCAATAGCCTGGGTAGTGATGTAGTGGAGGCAGAATCCATACATAGCTTTAAGAAGAGGTATGATAAAGCTCACGGAGCAGGAAGTGACTGAGTAGCGGCCAGTTGAAGAGGCGGGGCCAGGAGCTGTGGCTCGACCCCAGCAACCACAACTAGGTGAGAACCTTGAGTTTTCCCTGAAGCAAGTTTATTCTTTTCTCTGAGGATGAGGGTCCCTAGGACAGTTCTAGAGGTGGTACCTGGAGTTTACCTGGAGAGAGTTTCGGGGGTCAACGCCCCCGCGGCCCGGTCTGTGACCAGGCCTCCTGGTGGATCAGCGCCTGATCAACCAGGCTGTTGCTGCTGGCTGCACGCAAACCAACGTACGAGCCACAGCCCGGCTGATCAGGAACTGACTTTAGGTGCTTGTCCAGTGCCAGCTTGAAGACTGCCAGGGGTCTGTTGGTAATCCCCCTTATGTATGCTGGGAGGCAGTCTGTTGGTAATCCCCCTTATGTATGCTGGGAGGCAGTTGAACAGTCTCGGGCCCCTGACACTTATTGTATGGTCTCTTAACGTGCTAGTGACACCCTGCTTTTCATTGGGGGGATGGTGCATCGTCTGCCAAGTCTTTTGCTTTCGTAGTGAATGATTTTCGTGTGCAAGTTCGGTACTAGTCCTCTAGATTTTCCAGGTGTATATAATCATGTATCTCTCCCTCCTGCGTTCCGGGAATACAGGTTTAGAAACCTCAAGCGCTCCCAGTAATTGAGGTGTTTTATCTCCGTTATGCGCGCCGTGAAAGTTCTCTGTACATTTTCTAGGTCGGCAATTTCACCTGCCTTGAAAGGTGCTGTTAGAGTGCAGCAATATTTCCAGCCTAGATAGAACAAGTGACCTGAAGAGTGTCATCATGGGCTTGGCCTCCCTAGTTTTGAAGGTTCTCATTATCCATCCTGTCATTTTTCTAGCAGATGCGATTGATACAATGTTATGCTCCCTTTAAGGTGAGATCCTCCGAAAAATCACTCCCAGGTCTTTGACGTTGGTGTTTCGCTCTATTTTGTGGCCAGAATTTGTTTTGTACTCTGATGAAGATTTAATTTCCTCATATAAAATATATATATATATATATATATATATATATATATATATATATTATATATATATATATATATATATATAATATATATATATATATACATATATATATATATATATATATGCAAAACAACCACTCTGAAAGAATAGAGAAATTCCAAGCGCTTTCGTGACTACTCACATTATCAAGGAACTATGAAAGTAAAGCATCCAAGGAAGCTATTAAGGGTCTGGCCAGCACCTCACTATCAGATCCCACAAAAGGTTAAACACCTGACGCGCGGCGACCCAACTGGACAGGTCCTTTGCACACAACTCACCCACAAACTATTCTACCCAAGAAAATTTAAAAATTATTATTTGTCCAGTGTATTATTAAATTCTTCCCCAAAACTATTAATTATAAATGGATCTAATTTATATAAACCAAAGGAAATATTTATATTATTGTCAAAACTGCTTTTTATGAAACAAGATTCAATTATATTCCTGTCGACCAGGGACTTGCTTGATACTACTTTCTCAATTTTTTGAAAATCAATTGGATGTTAAAATCTCTTACTGAATAAATAGAGCATTGGAATCTTGTCCAGTTCTAATGCTATATTTATGTTGTTTTAATTTAGTTCGAGATTTTTACCAGTTTGACCGTAATAAACTTTATCGCAAATTTTACAAGGAATCTTATAGACACATCCATCAGCATTTTGGGGGAAATTCTTTATCAAGTTTTTTTTACTGTATCAAGATTTTTGAATACAACTTTAATTTTAAAAAAGTCTTAAAAAAGGAAGGCATATCAACCAAGTTTTCATGGAAAGGGAAAACCAACATATTTTTAGTTTGAATAAGGTGGTTGTCCCTTTTTGGATTGTAAAAAGTATTTCTAGCAACTTTAAAAGATTATCAATTACATTTCTTGGGTATTTTAAATCATTACCTTTTTCATAAATTTTGGATATTCCTCATCTTTTGAACTCAGGACTACAAATTCGTAAAGCTCTCAAAAACATTGATGAGAAAACAGACAGTTTGACTCTATCTTGATGCGAGAATAAAAGTGGACATAGGAACAGTTATTTGTAGGTTTTCTTAATTTTAAATTTGAATTCATTATTACCCTTAATAATTAAAACATCTAGAAAAGGCAATGAGTTATTTTCTTCAAAACTCAACAGTAAAAATTTATAGAATGGGCAAGCTATTTAATTTTCCCAAAGGAAATGGTGTAAAATCTACATTTTTGGGCATAAGACAATTTAAAATGAATATTTCCTTTGGTTATATAAATTAGATCCATTTTTTAATTAATAGAATTTTTTGGGAAGAATTTAATAATACACTGGGCAAATAATAATTTTTAAATTTTCTTGGGTAGAAAGTTTGTGGGTGAGTTGTGCATAGGACCTGTTTCCCGTTGGGTCGCCGCGCGTCAGGTGTTTAAAACCGTTGTGGGATCTGATAGTGAAGTGCTGGGCCCGACCCCTTACATAGCTTCCTTGGATGCTTTACTTTTTTATAGTTCCTTGATAATGTGAGTAGTCACGAAAGCGCTTGGAATTTCTCTATTCTTTCAGAGTGGTGTTTTGCATATTCTGAAATCACCTGTTTACTGTGATTTTATTGCATTATATTATAATATATATATATATTATATATATAAATATATATATAAAATATATATATATATATATATATATATGTATATATATATATATATATGTGTGTGTGGGGTGTGTTGGGGTGTGTGTGTGTGTGGTTGATGTACTCCCCTATTGGTACTCCCATTTGTGGTTGCGGGGTCGAGTCCTAGCCCCGGGCCCCCCCCTTTTCCCCGGTTGTACTAGGCCCTCTCTCCCCCGCCCCAGGTTTTATAAAACCCTCTCTTAAACGGAGGGTTTCCCTGCCTCCACAGTCTTTTCTGGCTTTCCCAGCCTTACAACTCTATGACAAAGAAATACTTCTACTATCTCTTGACTCATTTGTTTCTTCAATTTTAATTGGGGCCTCTTGTTTTGTTTTCCCCCTCCCTGGAACACCTTCCCTTTGTCCCCTTTGTTTTTCCCACGCAGTATTTTTTATGTCGTTATCGTCCCCTGACCCTCTGTCCCAGGTCTAGGCGATTTCCTTAAAATCTTTTTTTGGGACATTCCCTTGCCGGAACTAACCTGTTGAAAACCCTTTTACTTTCTCTAGTTTCTTGACGTGCTTTATCAAGTGGGGGTTTCCAACAGGTCTGCATCCCCAGTATGGGCCTGACATCACGGGGTAAGGTCTTTAAGATTCCTTTAAGGGACATCTGTTTCAGGTTTGCCAAAGGGGCCCCTATGCGCAGCAGTTTCTGATTATTGTGCTTCGGAGACATCTCGGTGTTTTAAAACACCCAAGATCTTTCTCCCTTTAGGGGTTTTGCGCTTTGGCCCCCTAGCATACTTGTCTGTGGTTTCTGTGCCCTTCCCTATCTTCTGACTTGCATTTGGCAGGATTAAAAATTTGAGAAGCCTTTGCTGGGCCCTGTCAGTCGTCCATCTCTTGAAATCCTGCCTGGGCCATCAGATTTAATTCTCCCATTAAATTCAAAATTGCAAACAGGGACACTTTTGGCTAACCCTTCCGTCATGTCGTTCACATATACCAAAAATAGCACTGGTCCTAGGACCGACCCCTGTGGGACCCCGCTCGTCACAGGTGCCCACTGTGATACATCATTACGTACCATGACTGGTTGTTGCCTCCCTGTCAGGTATTCTCTGATCCATTGCAGTGCCTTCCTGTTATATGCGCCTGATGCTCTAGCTTCTGCACTAATCTCTTGTGAGGAACTGTGTTCAAAGGCCTTCTTGCAGTCCAAGAAGATGCAATCAACCACCCTCTCTCTCTTGTCTTACTTCTGTTTTTTTATCATAAAACTCCAGAAGGTTTGTGACACAGGATTTGCCTTCCGTGAATCCGTGCTGGTTGGCATTTATACCCCTGTTCCGTTCCAGGTGCTCCACCACTCTCCTCCTGATAATCTTCTCCATAATTTTGCATACTATACACGTCAATGACACAGGTCTATAGTTTAGTGCCTCTTTTCTGTCTCCTTTTTTGAAAATGGGAACTACATTTGCCGTCTTCCATACCTCAGGTAGTTGCCCAGTTTCCAGGGATGTGTTGAAGATTGTGGTAAGTGGTACGCACAAATATCTGCTCCCTCTCTAAGGACCCACGGAGAGATGTTGTTCGGTCCCATTGCCTTTGAGGTATCGATGTCCCTTAGCAGTTTCTTCACCTCCTCCTCATCTGTTTTGTATGTCGCCCAACACTTGTTGGTGTATTCCTTGTTGGTGTCCCATCTGGTCTGTCCCCCAGAGTCCTTCCTGTCTCTACTGTAAATACTCCTTAAATCTCGTGTTGAGCTCCTCACATACCTCTTGTTCGTTTCTTGTGAGTTCTCCACCTTCTTTCCTCAGCCTTATCACCTGGTCCTTGACTGTTGTCTTCCTCCTAATGTGGCTATACAGCAGTTTCGGGTCAGATTTGACTTTCGATGCTATGTCGTTTTCATACTGTAGCTGGGCCTCCTCCTTATCTGCGCATACTCGTTTCTGGCTCTTCTACTAATCTCCTTGTTTTCCTGGTCTATGCCTCCTGTACCTTTTCCATTCTCTGTTGCACTTAGTTTTTGCCTCCCTACACCTTCGGGTAAACCAAGTACTCGTTTTGGTCTTCCTATTATTTCTGTTTCCCTTGGGAACAAAACTTTCCTCTGCCTCCTTGCACTTTGTTGCCACATATTCCATCATCTCGTTTACTGATTTTCCTACCATTTCTCTGTCCCACTGAACCTCCTGCAGGAAGTTTCTCATACCTGTGTAGTCCCCCCTTTTATAGTTTGGCCTGTCCCCTTCAGTTCCTGTTGTGTGTGTGTGTGTGTGTGTGTGTGTGTGTGTCGTGCCGAATAGGTAAAACTTGCTATTTTTTCTTAAATAGCAACGCTCTTCTTGCCGAATAAGGCAAGTGAAAATTTGTGTATGCAATGATTTCGCAAAAATCGTTCTGAACCTAACGAAAAAAAATATATTTCACTGTGTTTGTTTATTAAATTATTGTAAGCTTATCTAAAATATATTTAGTTGGATTAGGCTAAATTAAATTGCGCTTGTTATAATAAGGTTAGGTAAGTTTTCTAAGGTTCTTTTGGTACAAAATTATTTTTACATTAACATAATTGAAAAAAATATATCTTTAAGCCTATAAGAGAAAATTTTAAAAAGGACTTAATTTTAAATGAATTATTGCTAATTGATCAATTTTACCTATTCGGCACCTGGCTTATATTAGTTTACACTAAACACACAAGTACATGCAAGATTAGAATTTTCTGACGTCAGAACAGCGGGGTTCTTGACCCATATTTGACAAAAGTTATGCGAACCATTGGCACTCGACTCAGTCACGGTTTATGCAAACAATGAAAGATCCCGAGGCAATGTGCCAACAGTTGGAGTGATCTGTATCTACTAAACTAGTCAAATGGTAACGGTGCGAGCCTAGCATTAACCCGTGGAGGGTTCTCAGTCAGGTGGACATGTAGGATTTTCAACCAAGGGGTCAGTGGGTGTTTTCAGTCAAGAATCCATGAGAAGTTCTCAATTAAGGGATCGTGGAAGTGGAGTTCTTATCCTGGAGTCCGCTGGGACAGAGGGATCCATGGTAGTCCTTAAGTAGGAAGCAGAATGCTATATAGAGTTCTCAACGAGGGATCCATGATGGTCCTCAACCAGGGTGCCATGGAGAGTTCTCAAACAGTGCCATGCAATATTCTTAACAAAGGTGCCAAGGAAGATTTTCAACAGGGTGCCATGGAAGGTTTTCAACCAGGGAACCATGGAGGGTTCTCAACCAGAGTACCATGGAAGGTTCTTAATCAGGGTGTCATTGAAGGTTCTTAACCTGGAGAGCCATGGAGGGCTTTTATACAGTCGATGGTTTGGTTGCAGACATATTCAGAGTGTTTGATAGATTCCTTGCACTCCCTTGTAAAAGTTACAACTTAATACCACTTTTCCGGTTCAGTGATAGTAGTTAGAGCGAGATCAATAATTTGGCAGTCTCTTGGAGGTGAGATGAGTTCTCTGGGAAAAGTTACCCACCATGTTAACCTTCCTAAACTACCGGTAGATGGCTAGTTTGAGAATTCATTGTTCAATCTTCAACGGCCGTGTGCGGCATAGTGGACGGCTTGTAGTGCCCTGTTCACTTTGCGCATTCCCTCGTCAAGCTACAACCGTTTACTATATAAAAGTGTGTGCGTTAAGAGGAAGGAATTTTGCCAGCTCAATTATCCACAACTTATGTGAGGCAGAAACCAACACCATTAATTAACCAAATGATTTAGTCTTGACACGAAGCCCAGACACTTGTGGAGTTCTTGGCATGTAGAATACTACCTAAAAATTAATTCACGATATTTTTCACCCAAGAATTTGTGTAAAACTTTTGCATAGGATTTCATATTCATGTACGGTACTAGCCACTACTGTATTTGTACCCTAATTATTTTAACGAAAAATAATTTGTTATTATTTTGTAATGTTAGTTCCTTTTTCTTATTATTCCTAAGTTTATCATTTTAATACAGTCTTTTCGTTTAAAATTAACTATTAATGCCTATTAGTTTGAGAACAAATTGTAATAAGCATACAGTGCAAAAAAAATCTTGCATCAGTTGCATAACTATATTAGTATTAAGTTTTACGTTTCGTATTATCTGAAGTAATAATATTTATTGAACATACGACACATACATACTCAATAAAACACAAAGTAGAAAAGTGAAAACAAAGAGAAGGAAATGTATGCACGTGAAGCGGTCCATCGACACCATGCCCAGCCCTTCTAGGGTAGGGTAGGTGCCTGAGCCCGAGCCTTTAGCTCATAAGACTGTCATTCCCATTAGCCCCCTTGTGGCGGGGATGGCAGACCAGAGAGGCCTAGCTTGTGGCTAGGCCTGGGGACAGTTGGTCCCAAAGATGAGGAGGTACTTGTGCCTCCTCCCATGGGAGACTTAGGTCTCAGACACTCTTTAAAGAGGGAGCCAAGGCCGGGCCACCACTTGGAAAAGGCCGGGCCGGGAGAATACCGGCTAATCTTTAATAATAATAATGCACGTGAAGCGCTAAACCCATCTTAGGTATTCAGTGCAAATTTTAAGCAGCAGTGTACAGAAACGCTTAGTATTGATTATAATCATAACTAAGCGCCAAACCCACAAGGGTCATAGTCTGAGTATTGAACATAAACGAAGTGATCCTTTTAGTCATCAATGTGACTGATACGATACTTGCTGCATAATCTGAAATATTCCTGCTGTATAACATGGAATATTCATGTTTGGATAGTATTTCTATATACACGGATGACCATAAAGGGAAGTTGTTAATCAATCATTAAACCTGAAAAAAAGTCAACTGTTGTCACATTATGGTTATCTGCAATGATTGTTTGTATACTCTTGTAATGGTATATCATATCATCCCCGGTAGGAGGTATGTAGCCTCATCGGCCCCTCATGCTATACATCGTTATTATGATCAGTTTAAACGCTAAACCCTGAGGGTCATACAGCGCAGCATATTTATTTATATATCCTCTCGTCACCCAATCAGACATGTAGCTTACGTAAAATACTCCTAGAGACCCTTGGAAGATCAAATGGGTAATATATGGCCCAGCGGAATGAGACAATCAGATTGATCCAGAGGGGAGGGCAGTTACAATTCCTTTGATTAAAAGTCCTTCACTAGCATCCAAGCACCTTCTTCCTTTCAAGGTACTATAGTTAGAAATCAAGTTTGTCAGGTATCTTGAAATGAGCATATGAGGTTGTAAATAAAATCAAAATTAACCTAGATGTACAGCCTGTCAACACTTTATTTAAAATAAACTCCATAAACTTGTACAAAAACATTTAAAAAAACAAAGATTTTCTTTTATAAAACAGACCTAAATACCTTTAAAACTTTTATGGACAACAGGTTAAAATAGCACTACACAGAATGATGTGGTGCCACCAACTGTGGTCACCTGCTGGCATGAAGATAGTTAAGAACATGTATATAGGTGAACATAAATTGGCACGTGTATATATGCATGTATCTAAGCATTCTTTTAGGAGCGCACGTCATTACATGCACACAGGACAGTATAACTAACATGCATCTAAACATTCTTTTAGGAACACAAGCAATAATAAAAAATAAATGAGGTCGAATAAAGTGAACTTTGTGCTGATTCTGTCAATAATACAATTTCAAATGCCTTTTTATGAGAATAAGCGAGCAAATAATTTATCTAAATCCACAATTAAAATAGTCTTAAAACAAGTTATCTCCATAACGAGCAGAGTATAGAGGTTAAGTAGATGTATTAGTCACCGGATGTAGCAAAGATAATCAAAGCTCTTTGGATACTTGAGCTGAAAAGGGATATGATGAAAGTGACAAATTAACACAGTTGAGAAACTCGGCTGCATCAGCTGTAGTCCAGACGGAGAGAAAATCCTCTAGTCCATCTTCACGAAGTTTCACAGGTGACGTGCCATGCTCTTCAGCCAGCTCTTGTTTTTTCTTGTCTGCTAAAGTCGCTTTTTTGGGCCCATTCCGACAATGAGTAAGAAGATCATAGTCGGGGTTTGCATCATTTTTAATCCATGCAAGACCTTTATAAGCGTGCCTTCTTCTTTTAGTTTTATTATTCAGTCTCACCGCTTTTTTCACGCCCAACCTTCTGATAATCCGCCCCACAGAGTGAGCTGTTAGCGGATTAACTTGGCGGTCGTGGCAAAATTGTTCATATTTCGTCATGAGTTCCTGTAGCACTACCAAATCTGTTTCTATTCCTGTAATAATCAATCTTTCCATATAAAACTGCATGAAAGTATTTTCAGATGTCATTATTTTTGGGAGGCAAGAAGAAATAGATGATTTTTTTAAACCCGAGTACACATGAACAGTTCTGGTAGTAGCCTTCACTCCCAGGCTATCCAAGATATGTCCAATAAAAATTTTCTTTGTTGGAACTTTATTCCTTTCCCTACAAAACTTTTCATAATTCCTAAAAAGGTCCTCACTCTCTACTGCGTCAGAAGGTAACCTTGTAATTTTCATTTCTTCACCAAGAAAATCAACAAATGAGAGATAATCTCTGGCATTCGAAATGGATCGATGATTATCGTTATAGGTGCTGGAGGAGTTACAAGTAAGACTTGGGCAATCACAAGATGACTGAACCCAGAGCAACCCAGAATAAGTTATTGTATGGTGACCAACCTGGTTTTTAGTTAGGTTTACAGGAATACCCCTTTCATTCAGATAATGCCAGAAATATCTCGCAGGGTGCGCTTTAATACGACTGATCCGGCAGTATCTCTTGTAGCTTGAGAACAGGTCCTTCCTTGGTATCACGTCATCACTCCTCCCAGTGATTTGCACTCTTGTAGATAAAAAGTCATTAATGGATTTATTGCAGAGCAAAGGGTAATCGTTCAGTTTGTTCTCAATAACTGCATCAACCTGAATTAAACAGAATGTACGATGTAGAACAGGTATTAGAATACACAGGGTATGATATAGCAATATTAATGTAGAAATTACAACCATTTCAATAAATCAATTAAATCTAATTATAACATTTTTATTCTCTCCGATTAAGGAAATTTTTAAGCAAAAATCCCACAGCTACTAAATGTGCACGCAGATGCATTTAAAAGCACGCAGGTGCATCTGCATAATTGTGCGCACATGCATTTACATGCACATGCACGCATACGCACCCAATGGTACCTACCTTAATAAACTCCATTGATGTATTTATAGGTGCTGAATTTTCTTGGGGGCATGAAGAGTTGAATGAATACTGAGAAGAGTTGGCGGAGTTGAAGTTTTTCTTAACCCACTGCAAACCTGAGTAAATATATTCTTGTCCCTGTCCATTTATTCCTCCTCTTCTGGTAATACACTTCACTCCCAGCATACTCAGGATGCGTCCCCTTAAAACTTTCTTTGCTGAAACTTTATTCTTCTCACAAAACTTTTCGTAATTTCTAAAAAGATCCTTACGATTTACTAGGTCAGTAGAAACCTTAGTAATTTTCACTTCTTTACCAAGAAACTCAACAAATGAATCTCTGGCAATCTTAATAGATAGAAGACGATTGTGAGAAACGCTGGAGGAGTTACAAGGACTTGGGCAATCCAGAGGTGGCTGTGCCCAGAGCAACCCAACAAAAGCTATTATATAGCAACCTTCCTGGGTTTTCCCTATGTTTACGTCAATACCTATCGTATCCAGATAATGGCAGAAGTCTCTGACAAAGCCCGATTTGACACGGTTGGTCTTGCAGTATTTTTTGTAATCTAAGAGGACATCCTCCCTTGGTACTATGTCATCACTCCTGCCAGTGATTTGCATTCTTGCAGATAAATAGTCATCCATTGATTTCTGACTCGGGACAGTGTCGTTGGTTATGATGTTATCAATAACTGCATCAGCCTGAAAGAACAAGATGTGTCATGCAGAATAATACACAAGGTATGATACAGAAACATGTAATAATTACGCCCATTTTTTTAACATGCTGGTAGTCGTCTTCCACCGAGGCAGAGTGACCCGAAAAAGAAACACTTTCACTATTATTCACACCCATTATATAAAAAATAAAAATTATGATTAACATATTTCTATCCTCTGATTATACACTAAAAAAACCTGAAACCCAAAACAATTAAATTTGTGTGCATCTATGTGCGTGTTGCATGCACAAGTAATTGTACTTACCTTATAGCACCTCACGGATGTGTTTTTAGATGCTAAATTTTCTAGGGGGCATGAAGAGTTGAGCGATTTTTCTAAACAAGAGGAGTTGGCGGCGGTGAGTTCTTTCCTAACCCATTGCAATCCTGAGTACATACAGTTTTGCCCCTGTCCATTTGTTCCTCCTTTTCTGACAGACTTAACTCCCAGGCTAGCCAGTATTTTTCCAGCAAAACCATTATCAGCTTTGATTCTATTCTTTTCACAGCAAAATTTTTCATAATTACTAAAAAGGTCCTCGCACTTTACCAAGTCAGATGTTAAATTTGTAATTTTCAGTTCTTCTCCAAAAAACTGAATGAATGAGGCTCTGGCACTTGTAGCTAACGGATGATATTCGGAGGTGTTTGAGGAGATTGAAATACGACTTGGGCAATCGCGACGTGGGTGAGTCCATAGCAACCCTGCAAAACCTATTACATGGTGACCAGCTTTGTTTTTCATTATGTTTGTGTGTATACCCCTAGTATCCAGATAACGGTAGAAGTCTCTTTTACGGCTCGGCTTTACACGGTAGATCTGGCAGTGTTTCTCGTAGCTTGAGAAAAGGTCCTCTCTTGTTATCATGTTATCACTCTTGCCAGTGATCTGCACCCTCTTAACCAAAAAATGATCTATGACTTGCTGGTCCAAGAGAGTGTCTTTGGTTTGGGTGTTCGCGGCAACTACATCCGCCTGAAACAGGATGTGCAATGTACAAAAACTAGATATTAGAAACACAGATTTTGATAACGTAACATTTATATATCAATTACGCCCACTATGTCAAAACAATATGAATGCACTTTTATTCTCTTTGATTACTGGAATTTAAAAAAAAAATTAAGTGCAAAATTACTGAATTTGTGCGCGTGCATGTTCGCCTAAAAAGCATGTGCGCAAGTGCGTGAGCACTTGTACATGCTTGAGTGTGCATGTGCGTACACCCGTAAGTAAGTAAATTTATTCAGGAACAGGTACACATAAATAGTTACATAAAATATCATACATAGCACCATATGTGTAGATTACCTAGGTTGTGCAAGAATGGTATATAATACCAACAATCCCGCGGCTTTGATAAAGCCACAGGATGGCGAAACGTCTACAATAAAGATACCCAGATGTTGCACATGTGTCTTAATTTCATCAGATTACCTAGGATAACCCCCTCCAAAAAAAAAAAAAAAAAAAAAAAAAAAACTTACCGTAATAATCTCCACTGATGTACTTTTGGAAGCCATATTTTCTTGGACGCATGAAGAGCTGAATGATTTTTGTAAACAAGAGGAAGCGGCGGCGGTGAGATCTTCCTTAACCAACTGCAAACCTGAGTACATATGTGTTCGCCGCTGTCTATCATTTTTTTCAGCTCTGTAGGTAGTCTTCACTCCCAGGATAGTCAGGAGGCGTCGTACAACGTAATTACTTGCTGGGGTTACTTTCCTTTCACTACAAAAGTTTTCATAACGTCTAAAAAGGTTCCAGTATATTACCAGGTCAGTATGTATCCTTGTAATTATCACTTCTTCTCCAAGAAACTCAATAAATGAGTTTGAGGAGCTCGTCGAGGGATAGGAATCGTTAGATGAGGTATGAGTACACTTTGGGCGATCACGATATGGGTGAGCAGAAAGTAGCCCAACAAAAGCTATTATATGGTGACCAGCCTTGTGTTTTATTATATTTACGTGAATACCCCTTGTGTCCAAATAACGCCAAAAGTCTTTAGCAAGACCTGACTTTACACATTTGGTCTGGCAGTATTCTTTGTACATTGAGAGGAGGTCATCCCTAGGTATCATGTCATCATTCCTGCCAGTGATCTGCACTTCTTCAGATAAGAAGTTATCCATGGATTTCCAACAAGGAAAAGTGTATCTGGTCTGACTGTGCTCAGTAACTGAGTCAACCTGAAAGAAACAAAACGTGTAATGTAGTAAAATTAGATACTAGTATAGGTAAAGTACAATACCTGGAGTTTACCCGGAGGGGGTTTCGGGGGTCAACGCCCCCGCGACTCGGTCTGAGACCAGGCCTCATGGTGGATCAGGGTCTGATCAACCAGGCTGTTACTGCTGGCCGCACGAACCACAGCCCGGTTGGTCAGGTACTGACCAACCGGGCAACATTATTATAGTAGTTACGTCAACTACATCAAAATGTTTAAAACGTAATGACAGACTGTTTTTGTTCTTTACGATGTATGAAACCGTGCAGCAACGAAGAAAAATAAACGTATTTTTTTTTTTTTAGAAATGGTATATATTCGGGAAGAGAACGTTCGGTTTGTTTGACACTGTATGAGGGTACATGTTTGGATACTGGTGAAGGACTCTTGATTCAAGGAACTGACGCTACTCACACTTATCACCTTCTTAATATTTCATTATATATTTTATATTTTGCATGGGGCCTATATTCATTTTGTGTACCTATGTTCATTCTTACTCATCTCCAACACATGACATTTTCCACACAGAAATCCGGCAATTAATTTTTACCCAAAAAATTATAAAATAACATAAACATTGCATTGACTACGTACATATTCTTATAATTTTTTATTCCCTTCGGCAACTTATACAAATTGCAAACATTTTCTGTGAGTATTGATCCTTGTTGCACTGCACTTGTGACTCTACCCAATGAAAAAAATCTTTTATCACTGTTCTTTCCTCTTTTTCAAGTAATTTTTTTATCCATGTATATATTTCTCCCGTTAATCTTGTTTTTCCTTTATTTAATTAATTTTCCAAGTGGTCTATAAAATCTAAGAAATAAAAATTCTTCCCCTTTTTCAAATATACTGCAATATCAATTTTCCTTTTTAAATAATGTTTCTTCCTCTTTTTCTAGGAAATACTATACAAAAAATGTCTTATTTCCTTCCCTCATTTTAGTTCCTTATTTAACAAGCTTGTACCTAAAATATCTTATCCAAGAACTTTTTAGGAAACCCTTTGCACCTCCTGCTTCACAGACCATTCATTCTCTTTCTCTTTATGATTGATATTCCCTAATGTAAGTATTTTTATTTTGTCTTATTTTATTATCATGGAGAGGTGTTAAACTCGTGTTACATACAGCGGCTGAGGAATCGGAAGTAATCAGGATTGGTAAAGAGCTCTTGATCCGATGAATTGGATGGTGGTAAAGGGCTCTTGATCTGATGAATTGGAGCTAGCCTCCGCTTCCTTTCATTTAAAAATGATTACTTTCCATTCTTGCGCTAAATGACCCCTACGAGTTTGGGCTTCTCAGTAATTATTTAGTCAGGACGAAAACAATTTATGCATATCTTCAAACAACTAGATAGATAGAAGCCAAACAAGTCATCAGGCCCAGATGACCTGTGGAAAATGACAAATCGGAAAATAAGTCCTTAGCTTCAAATTATAGACAAATCAGCCTAATCTAGTCTGCCGAAATGCCTTGGCAAGCTAGTGGCCTTCTTTGTAATAAACACTTCATAACATGAAAACCACACATTGTAAGCTTTACAAGGAAATAAACATGTCATTGTCAATCTCAATCGTGGGAAAATGATGAAATCATTAATTGCTGATATAACTTGAAGTCGCATTGAAAGACACTGATCAACGAATCTCAGCACAGGTTTACAAAGGAGTTCTTGCCTTATGAATTTACTAACATATTTCACCGAGGTATTCGAGGCTGCAAACTATGGTAAAAAAAAATACGATATTTGTGTATATGGACTTCAGTAAGGCTTTTGATAGCATTCCACAGAGGAGACTTTCATAATCAATTTAATTTCTAAAGAGGTGGACCGGTATTCCTGCGAAGGACTCGGCCAGATGACCAAAAGCGCCAGTGACAGGTCATCATATGACCAAGACCCGTGTCAGGAAACACCTGTCCTGTCTCCTGACGAATCTTACCTAACAGGAGCCTTATTAAAAGAGTAGTCTAGCGTGAGCCAGTAGGCCTGATGCAGTGTTTCTTCGTTCTAAGTATGCTGCCCAACAGACAATGCAAAATGTCAAGACTAAAAATTACACTACAGAAAATAGGGAATATAAAATCAACTATTAATTTAGTTCATAAAACACATAGAACGCAAAAACACAATGTTCTGTTTAATGTATCACTGCTGATTAAGTTTTACAAATATTCTTTATTACATATCAACATTCGAATTCAACACCCATATATAAATACGACACTTGTACAACACTTACGCCCAAGAGTTGCACTTCTGTATAATTCATCAACTTGTTGGTATTGAATAACATCAATAATAAGACCCTTTATAATCTTTATGAATTAGGTCACTGTATTTATAAGTCACACAGGCATTCAACACTTTCATCTTGACGCTGGCGTCGACAAGTATCTTTAAGTGCTGGTAAATATTGCAGGTGTATTATTTTAACACACGCTCTTTTTCAATCACTACTGTATTTAACAATAACATCTTATGTCCTTTTAGAGGAAGAACTGTGATTTTTAAACCCCCGTCATCATCCTCGGCTTCACTGAAATTGGTTTAAATTATTATAATAATGGGGAGCACTTAACCCATAGGAATATACAGCGCCTGTGGGGGGGGGTGTAAGGTATTCAGACTCAATTCAGGGAACCGGAGCACAGATCCAATTCCCTAGATCAAGAGCCCCTCACCAGCGTCAAGGAACCTCCCTTGAGGGGAAATTTGTTTAAAACACTACTCTTCCATCTTCCTCTAGTGGTGAGGCTGGGGGCCTGTGAGAGGCCTTACAAGTGGAATAGCCTAGGCCCTAGGGTCTACCTGGACGGTATTCCGGGGATCAACGTCCCTGCAGCCCGATCCACGACCAGGCCTTCCGTTGAATTAGGGCCTGATCAACCAGGCTGTTACTGCTGGCCGCACGTGTTCCAACGTACGGACCACAGCCCGGGTGATCAGCACCGACTCTCCGTCTAAATCCGCTATTTATCTTAAAGATCATAATAATTCTACCTCAGTGAAAACAATCACTTAGACGTTAATAGTGACAAATTTACCTTAATTTTTATTGCACTTTGTTTTACACATCTGGCTATATAATGAATATAAATGCAGCGAATACCTATACAGGATATAAGTGCTGAATATTGCCAATAGCTTATTATTATTATTATTTACTGGGAAACGCTACACCCATTGGGATCGTACACTGTCTGAGGGAATAGGAGGTATTCAAAGTCGATCCAAGGAAGGGGAGGATTAGTCCAATTCCTTGGATCAAGAACCCTCACTAGCATCAAGGAACGTCCCTTCAAGAGGTTCCAATTGAAATGACTGCACGATGATGGACATGAAACACTGGGTTTACTTCAGCACCTTTTAAATGGATAAATGTATCTCCCATTGGTGATGAACAGATTACAAAGACCTTAGTGTAGTCGACAGGCTTCAAACCCTAATAACCAACCAACCAGCTCACAGTTACCACCACCTAAATTATTATTATAATCTAGGGGGAAGCGCTAAACCCGGAGGATTATACAGCGCCTGGGGGGGGGGGGGATGTGGAAGGCATTCAGGCTTAATTCGGGGAACTGGAGCACAGATCCAATTCCCTAAATCAAGAGCCCCTCACCAACATCAAGGAACCTTCCTTGAGGGGCCACCACCTAAAAACTATTCTTTTTCATCCTTGGTTATGACAATCTTTAACGAATTTTCATAATGAATGAATACACATATGGGCAGAATTACAGTTAACGTAATCAGAATGAATAAAATGAGATAAAAATGAAGAATTGTTCTTACATCTTTGCCAGAGACTCCCGTTGCTGCTGCTGATGACGCCGCCATCTTTACTGTCAAAAAATTCGTAAAAATTAAATTTTAAAATTTAACATGTAACAAATACAGCTTATAAATGTTATATATTTAACGCCTACTCCCACTGCTGTTTATTACCTTCCTCTTGCTGGTATTACTCAATGAGTTTTCATCAACATTGTCAATTTGAAAGTATTTTTTTTTTAAATTCGGAATACAAGATATAAATTTGCGTTTAAATGGCGTAACATTACTTACATACATTTTTAAATAGTCCACTGCTAGTAATAATGTATTACATCAAACGTTATTAATTATTTTTACCTCTTTTGGTAAATTTCAGGCTTCATTACTGGAAACTTATATACTTTTGTGTAATGAGGTGAAATAAAATATATGTGTTTTTAGATTATGTGAACTTAGTAATGAAAAGACCCGGGTCGGGAGAATACCGGCGAATAAAAAAAAAAGATAAAACCATTATAAGTGTCTTAGCAGAAAAGTGTTACTAATATATATATATATATATATATACAAATTAGGGGGATTCTGATATTTTTCAAGTAGATATGGACAAGTTTATTACAATCTACTGCCGGAAATGCTTTACATAACTGGACCTTTCCATGTTTTATGAAGCATATTTATAATGTAACACACTGTATCGTGAAAAAACAAACTAATGGACTAACAGTATCATTAGTGCCATTAGTAACCTATTATTAACACCTGTCTGTGTGTAAAATGAATATTAGAAATATTAAGATAAGATTTCGTTCGGATTTTTAACCCCGGAGGGTTAGCCACCCAGGATAACCCAAGAAAGTCAGTGCGTCATCGAGTACTGTCTAACTTATTTCCATTGGGGTCCTTAATCTTTTCCCCCAGGATGCGACCCACACCAGTCGACTAACACCCAGGTACCTATTTGCTGCTAGGTGAACAGGACAACAGGTGTAAGGAAACGTGTCGAAATGTTTCCACCCGCCGGGAATTGAACCCGGGCCCTCCGTGTGTGAAGCGGGAGCTTTAGCCACCAGGCCACCGGGCCAGTTAGGACTTCAGCGCTTCTCTATGAATACAGCTTCTGGGTATGAGAGGGAATCAAGTCTGAGGAAGGGAAAGGGCAGCTCAAATTCCCTGGACAAAGAGCTCTATACCAGCTTAAGGGACTTTATCCAGCCTTCAAGGAATCAACTTTTGTCCAGCGGCGTATTATATTTTTTTTTTTTTGTAACCGTGCTCTAAAAACATTAATGATCACAAAATACTATGATAAATATCTCAGCCAAGATATTTTAATGCTACTATATCTCCTGAATATTGTACAGACTACTTAAATTAATTTTTGTATACTAAGTTTGATTCTTCTCGAAATTCTGCGAAGGCCGTCAAGTTAACATCATTAACTCTCCATATAAACTGGGATTTTTTAATAAAACGCTCTGAAAAAATTATCTTAAGTCATACTCTATTTATGCAGTAAGTTTCTGTAGCAATAACTGAAGTTGATGTAACTGGAGTGAAACAAGGGAAGTGTGAGGGTCCACCACTAGTGTGGTGAGTGACCTGGGACGACGTGGTAATGTTAGACGTTGACACAGTTTAAATCTCGCATATACCGCGTAGGACTATTGTAACTACATATCGTTCAAGGGAAGCTTAATCAGGCTATTGATATAGCTTCCTCTGAGCGAAATGTCGTTATAATGGGTGTTTTATGTGTTCATATCTGGGTGGAGGAGAGGGAGGGGTGGATGGTCTTCTGATAACACGTTTAGTGTCTCTCTTATCTCCTGTCTTAACCAGATTTCTTCTCCTTGCATTTACAGCACCTGTCATCCTCGCAGCAATGGGTCGCAAGAAGCAGCAAGAAAGTGAGTTTTATTTCTTCATGGTGGAGAAAAAACCGGAGGTGGAGAAAAGGTTAGGGCGGCCCGTGTCAATGGCTGACCTCCCTCAGCACCTCTATGCCGAATGGAAGGTAACTTTTTTTTATTTACCTAACTTTTTTGAGGGAGGTTCTTGACACCTGTACAAGACTCTTTATCTAGGGACTTGGCGCTCTTCTCACTTCTCGGGGCAAATCTGAGCCCCTTTTTATTCCTTAGGAGTTTAGCACTTCTTTTTTATTATAGTATTCTCTAGGAGCCATATGACCCACGGCTTTAGCGCTTCCCCATAACTATTTTTCTTTCATGTGGTTCATATTTCTTGCAAGCCACATTTAGGTTTTTCTTTACCAATTAACTTCGGTTTAGAAACCTCGTAATCCTAGGAAATGCGGCGTACATGGTTTAGACCTGATTATCTCCTGTTCCTTATGGGTTTAGCACATCTCTGTGAATAGTATACAGTATGTTTTAAGACTGGCATCTTGCATTACATGAATTTTACATAAAATCTTTGGTTATGGAAGTTTGTAGTAACTACAGTACAGACAAGTATGTAAATGAATGGTTATGAGCCAACAAGAAAAGGATTTTGTTCCGATTATTAACCCAAAGGTTTAATAACCCAGGATAACTCAATAAAGTCACTTGAAGATTTTTCTTATTTCCATTGGGGGCCTTTAATCCTCTCTTCCCAGGATGTGATCCATACCAGTCCATTAATACCCAGGTACCTAGTTGCTGCCAGCAAAACAGGTGTAGGGAAAAATCCCAATGTTTTTACTCCTTGGTACTGAACCCACACTGAGACCGCTACCAACTGAGCCACATTTACTGGCTACAGATGATAAAAATACATCAAAGAAACCCTTTAATAATAAAGGGTTTCACCCACTGTGGGCTCTATAAAGTACCTTATAAGCTCCCAGTGGGTAGTATCGTTTATTAATAAGAGATTTCTGTGCTGCAAGTGTCTGAAGATAAGAAATTTGTATTTTAATCACAATGAGTATACATGTATTACCCAGGAGAAAAGAAGGAAACTAATTAGGCTTGTCATGTTTCCACTGAAGTCCTTTGATCCTCTTCCCCAGGATGCAGCCTCCAATACTTCCACTTGCACTGGGATCACACAGGCCCTTCAAATGTGAACAGAAGGCACTACCACTTGTATCATGATTTCAGATTTCATGTAAAGTACTCAGATTTAACCTAGAATAAAACACCAGTGATCACAGAAGGGTTCCTAACAGTCGGAAGTTTCTGATACATTCTTCCACGTGTAGATTTTGTGAAATTATGACCATGCACTAACATAAAATAAACCTAAATTATGCATATGTGTCTTACCTAACAAACCTAAATTATGTTGGTAACTCTTATATTTTATCAGGTTACCAAGCCTGCTATCTTTATAATTAGATGAGAGCAACTTGGAAGTTCAGTGACCACCAGATACCATTTAAAATCATCAGTTTCATGTGAGGAATGTGCCTAGATATACAATATATGGAAATCATGTTTGTGTCCATTAATGTTATGCCTATTAGGTGTAAGGCAACAGTAGATGACCAAGGCAAATATGAATTTGCTCTATGGCATAATTTTAATGTACTATAAATGTCCCCCAAAATGATAATGAAACTTTGAAAGATGTAAAATATTATTAATTTCTAAAAAGTACATTTTACAGTTTATGTAGAATTAATTAACATTATTGGCATTCTTTATAAAGCCCTGATTATGCATTTTGGACTGCCTTAAAATTAACTTCCAGGTACTGAAGAAAGTTAGGTTTGACTGTATACAGAGCTAAAGATTGAGTAAAGGAAGATGTGTATAAATTCCATAATATAGTACATTTTTTTTTTTTTTTTTTTTTTTTTTTTTTTTCCCCAACAAGTCGGCCGTCTCCCACCGAGGCAGGGTGACCCCAAAAAAAAAAAGAAAGAAAATCCCCAAAAAGAAAATACTTTCATCATCATTCAACACTTTCACCACACTCACACATTATCACTGCTTTTGCAGAGGTGCTCAGAATACAACAGTTTAGAAGCATATACGTATAGAGATACACAACATATCCCTCCAAACTGCCAATATCCCAAACCCCTCCTTTAAAGTGCAGGCATTGTACTTCCCATTTCCAGGACTCAAGTCGACTATATGAAAATAACCGGTTTCCCTGAATCCCTTCACTAAATATTACCCTGCTCACACTCCAACAGATCGTCAGGTCCCAAGTATCATTCGTCTCCATTCACTCCATCTAACACGCTCATGCACGCTTGCTGGAAGTCCAAGCCCCTCACCCCACAAAACCTCCTTTACCCCCTCTTTCCAACCCTTTCGAGGACGACCCCTACCCCTCTTTCCTTCCCCTATAGATTTATATGCTTCCATGTCATTCTACTTTGATCCATTCTCTCTAAATGACCAAACCACCTCAACAACCCCTTCTTCTGCCTCTCTGACTAATGCTTTTATTAACTCCACACCTTCTCCTAATTTCACACTCCGAATTTTCTGCATAATATTTACACCACACATTGCCCTTAGACAGGACATCTCCACTGCCTCCAACCGTCTCCTCGCTGCTGCATTTACCACCCAAGCTTCACATCCATATAAGAGTGTTGGTACTACTATACTTCATACATTCCCTTCTTTGCCTCCATTGATAACGTTTTTTGACTCCACATATACCTCAACGCACACTCGCCTTTTTTCCCCTCTCAATTCTATGATTAACCTCATCCTTCATAAATCCATCGCCGACACGTCAACTCCCAAGTATCTGAAAACATTCACTTCTTCCATACTCCTCTTCCCCAATTTGATATCCAATTTTCTTTATCTAAATCATTTGATACCCTCATCACCTTACTCTTTTCTATGTTCACTTTCAACTTTCTACCTTTACACACATTCCCAAACTCATCCACTAACCTTTGTAATTTTTCTTTAGAATCTCCCATAAGCACAGTATCATCAGCAAAAAGTAACTGTGTCAATTCCCATTTTGAATTTGATTCCCCATAATTTAATCCCACCCCTCTCCCGAACACCCTAGCATTTACTTCTTTTACAACCCCATCTATAAATATATTAAACAACCATGGTGACATTACACATCCCTGTCTAAGACCTACTTTTACCGGGAAGTATTCTCCCTCTCTTCTACACACCCTAACCTGAGCCTCACTATCCTCATAAAAGCTCTTTACAGCATTTAGTAACTTACCACCTATTCCATATACTTGCAACATCTGCCACATTGCTCCTCTATCCACTCTATCATATGCCTTTTCTAAATCCATAAATGCAATAAAAACTTCCCTACCTTTATCTAAATACTGTTCACATATATGCTTCAATGTAAACACTTGATCTACACATCCCCTACCCACTCTGAAGCCTCCTTGCTCGTCCGCAATTCTACATTCTGTCTTACCTCTAATTCTTTCAATTATAACCCTACCGTATACTTTTCCTGGTATACTCGGTAAACTTATTCCTCTATAATTTTTACAATCTTTTGTCCCCTTTCCCTTTATATAAAGGGACTATACATGCTCTCTGCCAATCCCTAGGTACCTTCCCCTCTTTCATACATTTATTAAACAAAAGTACTAACCACTCCAACACTATATCCCCCCCTGCTTTTAACATTTCTGTCATGATCCCATCAGTTCCAGCTGCTTTACCCCCTTTCATTCTACGTAATGCCTCACGTACCTCCACCACACTTACATTCTGCTCTTCTTCACTCCTAAAAGATGGTATACCTCCCAGGCCAGTGCATGAAATTACATGTATAATAATAATAACTATACAGTGGTACCTCGAGTTACGAACTTAATTCATTCCAGAAGGCTGTTCAAGTGCCGATACCGAATGAATTTGCTCCCCTAAGGAATAATGTAAATTAGATTAGTTCATTTAAGACCCCCAAAAATACACTTACAAAAGCACTTAAAAAATACACTTGCATAATTGTTCGAGTTAGGAGCTGTTTGAAACTCAAGGTACCAATGTATTTCTACAAGTACATGTGCAAGGTATACAGGCCTAACTGACCTCAATGACATACTGTACTACTACATACATATTGTTATTTAGAGCATTTCAGACAAATTAGGTCAATTTTGTCTAAGGATGTGACCCCCACAAGTCTACTAACACCCAGGTACCCATTTTACTGATGGGTAAACATGGACAACAGATGTAAGGAAGCATGCCTAATATCTCCACCCTTGCCAGGAATCGAACCTGGACCCTCAGCATGTGAAGCGAGAGCTTTGCCTGTGGTCTCATGTTTAATGGCCCTCTCTGGTAGCTTTGGGTCTGGTGGTTATGAATCACTTTCCTGGCATATTTGACTGCTGTAGAGGAGCTATTATTAAGAATTATGATATTCATAGGGAAATGCTGAATCTGTATGTCATTCAAAAACCTGGGGAATGGAAGGGGTTGGTGGTAATTAGGTATGAGTTGATCAAGGGTAAAGTAGCACAGTACCCTTATTCAAGAGTTGTTGAACAGCATAGACACACAACTTTGAATGGTTGCACAAAAGCTGCAGTGATGAGGAATATCCCATCAAGCAGGATAGATTCTATAGTGAATTCTGTATTTTGAGTATACAATGGTACCTAGAGTTTCAAACAGCTCCCAACTTGAACAGTTATGTAAGTGTATTTTTGCAAGTGCTTTTGTAAGTGTATTTTTGGGGGTCTGAAATGGATTAATCTAATTTACATTATTCCTTAGGGGAACAAATTCGTTCAGTATCGGCACTCGAACAGCCTTCTGGAACGAATTAAGTTCGTAACTCGAGGTACCACTGTATATGTATCTTGATTCAAAGAAACTAATCAAAAATACAAATTTGCAATGATCTGTGGCGACTAGTAATTATTTGAAAGTTGACCAAGCATGCTATTAAATAAGCATTACAGTACAGTGGACCCACGACCAGCGATATTAATCCGTTCCTGAGAGCTCATCGTTAATCGAAATTATCGTTAGTAGAGTTAATTTTCCCCATAAGAAATAATGGAAATCAAATTAATCCGTGCAAGACACCCAAAAGTATTGAAAAAAAAATTTTTTACAACATGAAATATTAATTTTAATACACACAAACTGAAGAAGACATGCACAGTTACATGACACATACCTTTATTGAAGATCTGGTGATGATTGATGGGATGGGAGGAGGGGAGCGTGTTGATGGTGTTAGTGTTTAGAAGGGGAATCCCCTTCCATTAGGACTTGAGGTGGCAAGTTCTTTTTCGGGGTTACTTCCCTTTTTCTTTTAATGCCACTAGGACCAGCTTGAGTCACTGGACCTCTGTCACACAACATATCTGTCCATAGAGGCCTGTACCTCCCATTCCTTTATGACATTCCTAAAGTGTTTCACAACATTGTCAGTGTCACAATTACACACTTGTTCAGGTTTCAATTCTTCACTGTCTATGTACTCCTTGAATTCCTGCACATATTTTTCAGCTGCTTTTTGGTCCAAACTGGCAGCCTCACCATGCCTTACCTCACTATGTATGCCACTACAATTCTTAAATCTCTCAAACCAACCTTTGCTGGCCTTAAATTCACTCACATCACCACTAGTTGCTGGCATTTTTCTAATTAAATCGTCATGCAACTTCCTAGCCTTTTCACATATGATCGCTTGAGAGATGCTATCTCCTGCTATCTGTTTTTCGTTTATCCACACCAATAAGTCTCTCAACATCTTTATCACTTGCGATCTCAGTTTCGAAAACATAGTTGCACCTTTGGCAAGAACAGCTTCCTTGATTGCCGTTTTCTTGGCCACAATAGTAGCGATGGTTGATTGGGGTTTTGTGTACAACCTGGCCAGCTCGGAGAGACACACTCCACTTTCATACTTAGCAATGATCTCTTTCTTCATATCCATAGTAATTCTCACCCTTTTTGCTGTAGGGTTGGCACTAGAAGCTTTCTTGGGGCCCATGGTGACTTTATTTTGCAGGTGCAATCACTAAAAAGGCTGTGATAATATGAAATGTTCCAATTGTATGCTTGGAAGCGACCGCAGTGGCTGGATGGCTTGTAAACACTGGCCAGAAGTGGACGTGTCTCAGACGGAACGAATAGTGTTGGTCAAGTTTTTTAGCGCTAGTCGAGGCAAAATTTTTGCGTTAAAATGTATCGCTGGTTGGATTTATCGTTAATCGATGCCATCGTTGGTTGAGGGTCCACTGTACTTGCATTGGTATCCCTGTGCATTGTCTTGTATGCCAAAGGTATATTACTTTTAATTGAGCTAAGACTATTAGTGTGATCCTCTCTAGGGAAATTCCTTAATGCCAGCGAGGCATTTCCGAAGGTGATGCCTTACCCCTGTGGGTTTTTATTAAACCCTAAATATAATTAATAACATAATTATACCATTATTTTTTGTCACTGACTTCTGAGTTGTATTTCTCTCTTAGGCATTACCAGTTTCGAAGAAAGAAAAATATAAAGTCATGAAGCAATGTAGTCAAGAGAGTGCAGAAAAACTTGACTGTAGAGGTTTATCAATGTCAGAGCTTAAACGTCAGGAAGAAAGGAGAAAAAAGAAAATTGAAGATATGAGACGAGAGATCTTAAACACTGTTGATTTTTATGCCTCTGGATTTAGTAAGTTTTAAACACTTATTGCCATGCAATTTTGTTAGCTTTAATAAATAAATAATAATTGTATGCACATGAAAATAGATACTTTACTGGGTGTCTTATAAATTTAAAACTAATTTTTCACAAATAATCCCCCTTCCATTTACATCTCCCAAGTTGATATCTTTGAGCTCCTCACTAACAGTAATACGTTCTTTTACAGTACTTCATGAGGCAACCTTCTATATTGTTAGTACCAGCTATTATGTGCGGACAGAGGAGGATTTCTACTCACCAGCCGAGTTAGGTCTGATTCAGTTTAGCTTCCGCAGAGGAATCATTAAGGAATACACTGTTATTCTTAAACGTAAGTTAGAAGATAAAAAAAACTCGATCAGACTGGGGCTTTTTCTGTTCATGTTTTAATAGGTTATTGATTTTTTTATGTTTTGTGCCATGTTATTTTAATCTACTGTCGATTTACCACTTAAGAGTCCATAGGTGGCTAGCGTATATCCCGTCCTGAAATCACGAATCGAAAAATTTCATCATCATTTTCACTCCATCACTAGTCTTCCTCAAGACAAGTGCTTTACACTGAAATTATTTAAACTGCAACTGAGAAGCATCACGTCTGCACTTACCTTTGGCTTGAGAGTGGAGGCGGAAGAACTGTGATCTTCTTCATTGCCAAGGAACTCAATTCCTAGGCACTGGTCAGTCTTCTCTGGGATATCCTTGTCTTATAAACTGTATACTTGAGCTCACTGACTCTGTCGACAACACGTCATAGATATTAAAATCCATTTGCTCCATTTCACTCTTCATACAGCTCAACTGCCATGCTTGCGGAAGTCCAAGCCCCTCGCCACACAAACTCCTTTAACCCCTCCCATCCAACCCTTCCTAGGCCGACCCCTACCCCGCCTTCCTTCCACTACAGACTGATACACTCTTGAAGTTATTCTGTTTCGCTCCATTCTCTCTACATGTCCGAACCACCTCAACAACCCTTCCTCAGCCCTCTGGACAACATGTTTTGGTAATCCCGCACCTCCTCCTAACTTCCAAAACTACGAATTCTCTGCATTATATTCACACCACACATTTGCCCTCAGACATGACATCTCCACTGCCTCCAGCCTTCTCCTTGCTGCAACATTCATCACCCATGCTTCACACCCATATAAGAGCGTTGGTAAAACTATACTCTCATACATTCCCCTCTTTGCCTCCAAGGACAAAGTTCTCTGTCTTCACAGACTCCTAAGTGCACCACTCACTCTTTTTCCCTCATCAATTCTATGATTCACCTCATCTTTCATAGACCCATCCGCTGACACGTCCACTCCCAAATATCTGAATACGTTAATAGGTATGGCATTTAAATATTTAGATGTTTTGTTGCCCATGGCTGAATTGTGTAGAATCTTTACTGATTGATTTAACAGCTTGATTATGCAGTCCATATAGTACAGTGGGCCCTCAACCAGCGATATTAATCCGTTCCTGAGAGCTCATCGTTAATCGAAATAATCGTTAGTCAAGTTAATTTTCCCCATAAGAAATAATGGAAATCAAATTAATCCGTGCAAGACACCCAAAAGTATTGAAAAATTTTTTTTTTTTACCACATGAAATATTAATTTTAATACACACAAACTGAAGAAGACATGCACAGTTACATGACACTTACCTTTATTGAAGATCTGGTGATGATTGATGGGATGGGAGGAAGGGAGACCGTTGATCTTCTTACTGTTTAGAAGGGGAATCCCCTTCCATTAGCACTTGAGGTAGCAAGTCTTTTTCTGGGGTTACTTCCCTTGTTCTTTTAATGCCACTAGGACCAGCTTGAGTCACTGGACTTCTGTCGCACAACATATCTGTCCATAGATACCTGTACCCCTCATTCCTTTATGACTTTCCTAAAGTGGTTCACGACATTGTCAGTGTACAGGTTGCCAACACTGCTTGCAGTAGCTGTGTCAGGGTGATTTTCATCAAAAAAGGTTTGCACTTCAAGCCACTTTGCATACATTTCCTTAATCTTAGAAGTAGGCAACTTCAATTTCTCTATCCCCTCCTCCGAAGCAGTTTCCTCAGGTCTGCCCTCTTGCTGTTCAAGATGATCTAGCAGCTCATCAGTGGTTAGTTCTTCATTGTCCTCCTCCACCAGCTCTTCCACATCCTCCCCACTAACCTCCAACCCCAAGGACTTCCCCAATGCCACAATGGATTCCTCAACTGGCATAGGATTCCCAGGGTTAGCCTCAAACCCTTCACAATCCCTTTTGTCTACACATTCTGGCCACAGTTTTTTTCAAGCAGAGTTCAAGGTCTTCTTAGTCACTTCCTCCCAAGCCTTACCTATCATGTTTACACAATTGAGGATGGTAAAATGATCTTTCCAAAACTCTTAGTTGAGTTTCTGGGGTCACTACAAAGCACCTTTCAAACATAGCTTTTGTGTACAGTTTCTTGAAGTTGGAAATGACCTGCTGGTCCATGGGCGGGCAGGAGAGAAGGGGTTTATTGGGGAGGCAAAAACTTCACCTTAATGAAGCTCATGTCCCTAGAAAGTCGCTCTGCCAAGTCTGAAGGATGACCAGGAGCATTGTCTAATACTAGGAGGCACTTAAGGTCTAATTTCTTTTCAATTAGGTAATTTTTCACATTGGGGGCAAATGCATGGTGTAACCAGTCATAGAAAAAGTCCCTTGTGACCCATGCCTTACTGTTTGCCCTCCACCAGCACACAAAAATTAGCCTTGCGACATTGTTTTTCCTGACACTCTGGGAGTTTCAGAGTGATACACCAATAAAGGCTTCACTTTGCAATCACCACTAGCATTGGCACACATCAACGGAGTAGCCTGTCTTTCATAGGCTTATGTCCGGGGGAGTGCCTTTTCCTCCTGAGCAATGTAGGTCCTGCTGGCATTTTTTCCCAAAAAACAGGCCTGTTTCGTTGCAATTAAAAACACTTGTTCAGGTTTCAGTCCTTCACTTTTCTATGTACTCCTTAATTCCTGCACATATTTTTCAGCCGCTTTGTGGTCCGAACTGGCAGCCTCCACCATGCCTTATCACACTATGAATGTCACTATGTTTTCTTAAATCTCTCAAACCAACCTTTGCTGGCTTTAAATCACTCGCATCACTAGTTGCTGGCATTTTTTTAATTAAATCGTCATGCAGCTTCCTAGCCTTTTCACATATGATTGCTTGAGAGATGCTATCTCCTGCTATCTGTTTCTGTTTATCCACACCAATAAGTCTCTCAACATCTACCGCTGCGATCTCAGTTTCGAAAACTAGTTGTACCTTTGGCAAGAACAGCTTCCTTGATTGCCGTTTTCTTGCCTGCAATAGTAGCGATGGTTGATTGGGGTTTATTTTTACAGCCTGACCAGCTCAGAGACACGCACTCCACTTTCATACTTAGCAATGATCTCTTTTTTAAATCTCCATAGTAATTCTCCCCCTTTTTTTTGCTGTAGGGTTGGCACTAGAAGCTTTCTTGGGGCCCAATGGTGACTTATTTTGCAGGTGCAATCACTACAAAGGCTGTGATAATATGACTTTGTTCCAGTTGTATGTTTGGAAGCGACCGCGGTGGCTGGCTTGTAAACACTGGCCCCCAACGGGACAAGTGAGGTGCGCTCTGGCTAAAGTGGACGCGTCTCGTACGGGACGAATAGCGCTGGTCGGGTTTTTAAGCGCTAGTCGAGGAAAAATTTTTGCGTTTAAAATGTTGGCTAGTCAGATTTATGTTAATCGATGCCATCACTGGTTGAGGGTCCACTGTATATCCTTTGGGCATTAGATAAATTAAGAGGCATATATGTAATAGGTTAAGGGAATTGGTTAACTGTTCTGTTGGTTAAGGAAGTTACAATAGTATGTGTTCTATAACATAGGCAAAGGGGAAAGCAGTTCATTAGATTGTTAATCATGGATGAAATGCATAACATATTTGGATAATTCTTAATGGATTTTTTTTCCTCGACAAGTCGGCAGTCTCCCACCGAGGCAGGGTGACCCAAAAGAAAGAAAATTATTGATTCATATTTATTTCTTTAATGACTTTTTTTTATGTACAGTTATTCTGAAATAATTGGAAAGCACTGTACATTAATAAGCTAGTAATAGCAAGCAGTGCTCTTGCTACCTTAAAAATTATCCCAGAGATAATTCTTTGAATACTAATAGTACAAAACAGTGGAATATTGAATATATTGAAGAGAATTTCATAGCTAAATTGTTGCTGTTTAAAGATCAGGTGCAGGTAAGTTGTTCAGCTTAAATGTGAACATTAAATTGTGAAACAGTAATTTCCAACAATACAGCTGAATTCATATGCTTCATAATTTTCATAATTAGCTTAAACAGTAAACTTTTACCTAAAGCTTATTACACAAATAACTACTTTCCTATGAATGGTAATTTTAAGCAGATTGGAGCAATATTTGTAGAACTTGCCTAGAGTTTACCTGGAGGGGGTATTGGGGGGGCAGTGCCCCTGACTCAATCTGAGACCAGACCTCATTGTGGATCAGGGTCTGATCAACAGGCTGTTACTGTGGCTGCATGCACCTGGCATACGAACCACAGCCCAGTTGGTCAGGTACTGAAATTTAGGTGCCTGTTCAGTGCCTTCTTTAAGACGCCAGGGTCTATTGGTAATCCCCCTTATGTATGCTGGGAGGCAGTTGAACAGTCTTGGGCCCCGGGCACTTATTGTGTTGTCTGTGTGTACTTCTTGTGTCCCTGCTTTTCATTGGGGAAATGTTGCATCTCCTGCTGAGTCTCTTGCTTTCACAAGGAGTGATTTTTGTGTGTAAATTTGGTACTAATCACTCTAGGATTTTCCAAGTGTATGTTATCATGCATCTCTCCTGCCTGCTCTCCAGGGAATAAAGATCAAGGGCCTTCAACCGTTCCCAGTACTTTAGGTGCCTTATACTTGTGTGTGCCGTAAAAGTTCTTTGTACACTTCCCCCAGGTCAGCAGTTTTCCTGGCTTGAAGGGGGCAGTTAGTGTACAGCAGTATTCCAGCCTAGAAAGAACAAGCAATTTGAAGAAAATATTGTGGTCTTGGCGTCCCTAGTTTTGAAGGTTCTCGTTATCCATCCTATCATTTTCCTTGCAGATGTGGTAGATAAAATTGTAGTCTTTGAAGGCAAGATCCTCTGACATTATCACTCCCAGGTCCTTCATATTACTTTTTCGCTCTGTTGTATGGTTAGAATTTGTTGTATATGTACTCTGATACAGTTTTAACTTCAAGTTTTCCATATCTGAGTAGTTGAAATTTCTTTTCATTAAACCTCATTGTTTTAAGTGGCCCATTTGAGACTCCAGGCCTCTTCATGGCCGCTACTGGGAGTGTGTGTGTGCACACGCTCACTCGTGTGTGTGCGTGTGTGTACTCGCCTATTTGTGGTTGCAGGGGTCGTCATAGCTGTGTGCGTGCGTGTGTGTGTACTTGTGTTGGGGCATGTGCGCATGCGTGTGCTGTGTGCGTGTGTGCATGCACGTGTGCGTTGGTGCGCATGTGCACGCGTGTGCATGTGCGTAGCGTGTGCTTGCATTGTGTGCATGTGTGCATGTGCATGTGTGTGCATGTGGGATGTGTGTGCATGTGCATGTGTGTGCATGTGCATGTGTGCATGTGCATGTGTGTGCATGTGCATGTGTGTGCATGCACGTGTGCGCGCGTGCATGCGCACGCTGGTCTAACCAATTAATATTTGCACTAATAACTCATTATAGTGTGACCGGGTTGTGGACGTGTGAATGGGGTCATTACTTCATAATTTGTTCATGGTTGTAACCACCTATAGAGTATAAATGGTTCATTACCTTTGTAACTTGTCATGGCTATCAAAACTTTGGGGTCCAGTCCCTGGACCATTATGTACCTCTGTAAACTTTTGACTACTGCCCACTGGATGGGGTATGGGGTGTATAATAAAGATATTTAACTAAAAAAAAAGTAAAAACAAGATATGAGGAATATAATCATATGTTTTAAGAATTAACTTCTCATGAGGTAGAAAAAAAACCCCTAGATTGCAAAACATTAATCAGACTTTCATATTTTATTTTGATAGAATGGTAGCACCACTTGGTAGTAGCATCATATTGAGAGTTGTCTACCCATCCTACTACCTTCAGTCATCTGCCTTATGCTACATTTTTTTCAACCATTTCAGCTGCGATTCCATTGAGTTACGGTTACACTGCTAAAAGTGCACTCTGAAACAACGCACAATTTGTTGGAAGAAAACTGTGGTGTTGAGGACAAGGAAAAAGTCTTCCAGGGGTTGAAAGAATTTATTGTTAAGGTTTGTTTTGCTTTTTTTTTTACCTTTTAATGTATGTATACTTTAAATATGCATTTTCAAGTCTACCTTATAATAGAAAGCACTCTTTCTATCAAGGATGCAAAACCCCTCAACAAGACCCCTGAACACTGGTGTACCACAGGGTAGCGTTCTCATCCCCCTCCTTTTCCTTTTACACATCAACGATCTTCCAAGAGTATCACAACTTAAACCTATTCTCTTTGCTGACGACATGACTTTTGTCATCTCCCACCCGAATGTAGCCTCACTCAACATTATTGTTAACGAAGAACTCTCAAAAATAGCAACCTGGTTGACCGTCAGTAAACTTACACTTTATATAGACAAAACCTTTTACATTTTGTTTAGGAGTAGAGCAAGTGAGCTCCAGCTAAACATTGTGCTTAACAACGTGCTTATTGCTAAATATAATGAGGGAAAATTCCTGGGTCTGCACCTTGATAACCTGAAATTCAACCCCCATATCCAACACACAACAAAAATAGCTTCTAAAACAGTCGTCATCCTCTCGAAGATACATTACTATGTACCACAAACAGCACTACTTACATTATACTATTCACTGATCTACCCATACCTCACCTATGCTATTTGTGCCTGGGGTTCCACAATGAAAAACTACCTAAAATCAATAACACAAAAAGCCACAGTGCCAATGATCACAAGATCCACAGCGAGATAACCCCCACCCCACCCCCACACTCTTCAAAGACCTAAACCTACTCACTATACAAAGCATTCACTCGTACTATTATGCAGCCTACATTTACAGGTAGTAGGTTGGTAGACAGCAACCACCCAGGGAAGTACTACCGTCCTGCCAGATGACTGTGAAACAAAAACCTGTAACTGTTTTGCATGATGGTAGGATTGCTGGTTTCTTTTTCTGTCTCATAAACACGCTAAGATAACAGGGATATCTTGCTACTCCTACTTACACTTTGGTCACACTTCACAGACACGCACATGCATATATATATATACATACATCTAGGTTTTTCTCCTTTTTCTAAATAGCTCTTGTTCTTTTTTATTTCTTCTATTGTCCATGGGAAGTGGAAAAGAATCTTTCCTCCGTAAGCCATGCGTGTCGTATGAGGCGACTAAAATGCCGGGAGCAATGGGCTAGTAACCCCTTCTCCTGTATACAATTACTAAAAAAGAGAAGAAGAAAAACTTTATAAAACTGGGTTGCTTAAATGTGCGTGGATGTAGTGCGGATGACAAGAAACAGATGATTGCTGATGTTATGAATGAAAAGAAGTTGGATGTCCTGGCCCTAAGCGAAACAAAGCTGAAGGGGGTAGGAGAGTTTCAGTGGGGGGAAATAAATGGGATTAAATCTGGAGTATCTGAGAGAGTTAGAGCAAAGGAAGGGGTAGCAGTAATGTTAAATGATCAGTTATGGAAGGAGAAAAGAGAATATGAATGTGTAAATTCAAGAATTATGTGGATTAAAGTAAAGGTTGGATGCGGAGAAGTGGGTCATAATAAGCGTGTATGCACCTGGAGAAGAGAGGAATGCAGAGGAGAGAGAGAGATTTTGGGAGATGTTAAGTGAATGTATAGGAGCCTTTGAACCAAGTGAGAGAGTAATTGTGGTAGGGGACTTGAATGCTAAAGTGGAGAAACTTTTAGAGAGGGTGTGGTAGGTAAGTTTGGGGTGCCAGGTGTAAATGATAATGGGAGCCCTTTGATTGAACTTTGTATAGAAAGGGGTTTAGTTATAGGTAATACATATTTTAAGAAAAAGGGATAAATAAGTATACACGATATGATGTAGGGCGAAATGACAGTAGTTTGTTGGATTATGTATTGGTAGATAAAAGATGTTGAGTAGACTTCAGGATGTACATGTTTATAGAGGGGCCACAGATATATCAGATCACTTTCTAGTTGTGGGCTACACTGAGAGTAAAAGGTAGATGGGATACAAGGAGAATAGAAGCATCAGGGAAGAGAGAGGTGAAGGTTTATAAACTAAAAGAGGAGGCAGTTAGGGTAAGATATAAACAGCTATTGGAGGATAGATGGGCTAATGAGAGCATAGGCAATGGGGTCGAAGAGGTATGGGGTAGGTTTTAAAATGTAGTGTTAGTGTTCAGCAGAAGTTTGTGGTTACAGGAAAGTGGGTGCAGGAGGAAGAGGAGCGATTGGTGGGAATGATGTTTGTAGAGAGATAGTAAGGGAGAAAAAGTTAGCATATGAGAAGTTTTTACAAAGTAGAAGTGATGCAAGGAGGGAAGAGTATATGGAGAAAAAGAGAGGGAAATTAAGAGAGTGGTGAAGCAATGTAAAAAGAGAGCAAATGAGAGAGTGGGTGAGATGTTATCAACAAATTTTGTTGAAAATAAGAAAAAGTTTTGGAGTGAGATTAACAAGTTAAGAAAGCCTAGAGAACAAATGGATTTGTCAGTTAAAATAGGAGAGGAGAGTTATTAAATGGAGAGTTAGAGGTATTGGGAAGATGGAAGGAATATTTTGAGGAATTGTTAAATGTTGATGAAGATAGGGAAGCTGTGATTTTGTGTATAGGGCAAGGAGGAATAACATCTTGTAGGAGTGAGGAAGAGCCAGTTGTGAGTGTGGGGGAAGTTCGTGAGGCAGTAGGTTAAAATGAAAAGGGGGTAAGGCAGCCGGGATTGATGGGATAAAGATAGAAATGTTAAAAGCAGGTGGGGATATAGTTTTGGAGTGGTTGGTGCAATTATTTAATAATGTATGGAAGAGGGTAAGGTACCTAGGGATTGGCAGAGAGCATGCATAGTTCCTTTGTATAAAGGCAAAGGGGATAAAAGAGAGTGCAAAAATTATAGGGGGATAAGTCTGTTGAGTGTACCTGGTAAAGTGTATGGTAGTTATAATTGAAAGAATTAAGAGTAAGACGGAGAATAGGATAGCAGATGAACAAGGAGGCTTTAGGAAAGGTAGGGGGTGTGTGGACCAGGTGTTTACAGTGAAACATATAAGTGAACAGTATTTAGATAAGGCTAAAGAGGTCTTTGTGGCATTTATGGATTTGGAAAAGGCGTATGACAGGGTGGATAGGGGGGCAATGTGGCAGATGTTGCAAGTGTATGGTGTAGGAGGTAGGTTACTGAAAGCAGTGAAGAGTTTTTACGAGGATAGTGAGGCTCAAGTTAGAGTATGTAGGAAAGAGGGAAATTTTTTCCAGTAAAAGTAGGCCTTAGACAAGGATGTGTGATGTCACCGTGGTTGTTTAATATATTTATAGATGGGGTTGTAAGAGAAGTAAATGCGAGGGTCTTGGCAAGAGGCGTGGAGTTAAAAGATAAAGAATCACACACAAAGTGGGAGTTGTCACAGCTGCTCTTTGCTGATGACACTGTGCTCTTGGGAGATTCTGAAAGAGAAGTTGCAGAGATTGGTGGATGAATTGGTAGGGTGTGCAAAAGAAGAAAATTAAGGTAAATACGGGAAAGAGAAAGGTTATGAGGATAACAAAAAGATTAGGTGATAAAAGATTGAATATCATTTTGGAGGGAGGAAAGTATGGAGGGGTGAACGTATTCGTTTTTTGGGAGTGGATGTCAGCGGATGGGTCTTGAAGATGGGTGAATCTTAAATTGATGGGGAAAAAAAGAGTGGTGGTGCCTTAGGGTCTGTGGAGAAAGAACTTTGTCCTTGGAGGAAAAAGAGGGGAATGTATGAGAGTATAGTTTTCCCCAACGCTTTTTGGGTGTGAAGCTGGGTGATGAATGTTGCAGCGAGGAAAAGGTGGAGGCAGTGGAGATGTCATGTCTGAGGGCAATGTGGGGTTTTTGAATAAAATGCAGAGAATTCTTTTAATTTTGGGAAGTTAGGGGGGTGGGGGTTACCAAATGTTGTCCAGAGGCTGGGAAAGGGTTGTTGAGGGGGTTTCGGACATGTAGAGAGAATGGAGCGAAACAAAATGCTTAAGAGTGTATAGTCTGTAGTGGAAGGAAGGGGGGTAGGGGTCGGCTGGAGGGTTTTGGAGGGGGGGTAAAGGAGGTTTTAGTGCGAGGGGCTTGGACTTCCGCAGGCATGGTGGCGTGTTTGATAGGAGGAATGGAGACAAATGGTTTTAATACTTTACGTGCTGTTGGAGTGTGGAAGTAAATTTATGAAGGGTTTTAGGGAAACCGGCAGGCCGGACTTGAGTCCTGGAGATGGGGGAAATACAGTGCCTGCACTTGAAGGAGGGGTGTTAATGTTGCAGTTTAAAAAATGTAGGTAAAACACCCTTCTGGAAGACAGTGATGGAGTGATGTGGTGAAAATTTTTTTTTTTTCGGGACCTGCCCTTTGGGGGAATCGGCCCGGGTGTGTTAAAAATAAAAAAAAATTTACAGAAAACCCGCCTGCCAATGGGTAAAAAGAAAGCCTTATTTGTTTTTCATGAGGTGGGTTGCTGGTGTTTATTTTGTTTTATAAAAATGGAGATTTCAGGTACGTTTGCTTTATAAAAATTTTGTCACACTACCCAATACAGTAAAGAAATATATACCACCCCTTGGGGTTTTCTTCTATTTTCTTTCTAGTTTTTGTTCTTTTTTATTTCCTTTTATCTCCAAGGGAAAGTGGAACAGAATTCTTCCTCCATAAGCCATGCATGTTGTAAGAGACGACTAAAATGCCAGGAGTAAGAGGCTAGTAACTCCTTCTGTACAAATTACTAAATTTAAAAAGAAAAACTTTCATTTTTCTTTTTGGACCACCCTGCCTTGGTGGAATACAATTCTGATAAAAATCCTGACCTGAAATGCTGTCTTGATAGTTGCACTAGGACTCAGACACAACACTAGGCAGAAAAACCTCTGACATTCCCTGTCAGACTAAATCTTTTCAATAACTCATTGTACATAAAGGGGCCCAAAATCTGGAACTCCCTGCCAGAAATCTCAAGAACCATTGGATTAGCTATCATTTTTAAATCTACAGTTAAAAAATGCCTTATCTCCTTTGCTCAATATCATGAACATAGGTAAAATTTTCTCATCAGTATAATTGATATATACTCTCAATATCTGTATTCATCTCAAATGCTAATCACTCCATTGTGGCCACCTAAGGTTAATAATCAAAATTGTATGTCTTCTCAAGACTTATTGAAGCCATATAGCATGACCTAATAGAATACTCAGTTCTCTTGTATTCATTGGAACTCGTCTAATGACCATAAATACTGTTATTGATTTATTAATCTTAAGTTAATTTAAAGTTTGGCCAAAATGCTCTGCATATAAAGGGGCTTTTGGCATGTACACCTAAATTATATTCCTTTGTATAAACATGTCAAAATAAAATATTATTATTTTTTCCAACAAGTCGGCTGTCTCCCACCAAGGCGGCTGTCTCCCACCAAGGCGGCTGTCTCCCACCAAGGCAGAGTGAACCGAAAAGAAGGAAAATCTCCAAAAAGAAAATAGTTTCATCATTTAACACTTTCAACTCACTCATACATAATCACTGTCTTGCAGAGGTGCCCAGATACAACAATTTAGAAGCATATATAAAGATATTAACATATCCCTCCAAACTGCCAATATCCCAAACCCTTCCTTTAAAGTGCAGGCATTGTACTTCCCATTTCCAGTACTCAAGTCTGGCTATATAAAAATAACCGGTTTTCCTGAATCCCTTCACTAAATACTACCCTGCTCACACTCCAACAGCTTTTAACATTTTTGTCATGATCCTGTCGGTTCCAGCCGCCTTACCCCCTTTCATTGTACGTAATGCCTTGCGCACCTCCTGCACATTCACATCCTGCTCTTCACTCCGAAAGGATGTTGTACCTCCCTTTCTTCATCGACAATTAAAAGTTCCTCAAAATATTCCTGCCATCTACCCAATACCTCCAGCTCCCCATGTACTAACTCCCCTACTCTGGTTTTAACTGACAAATCCAATTGTTCTCTAGGGTTTCTTAACTTGTTTATCTCGCTCCAAAATTTTTTCTTATTTTCATCAAAATTTCTTGACAGTGCCTCTCCCACTATCATCTGCTCTCCTTTTGCACTCTATCATCACTCTTCACCTTTTTTTACTTTATATATACTCTGCTTTTCTTATAACACTTCTGCTTTGTAAAAATCTCTTATAAGCTCTCTTTTTCTCTTTTATCACACCCTTTACTTCATCATTCCACCATTATTATTATTATTATTTTTTTTTTTTCCTCCCAACAAGTCGGCCGTCTCCCACCGAGGCAGGGTGACCCAAAAAGAAAGAAAATCCCCAAAAAGAAAATACTTTCATAATCATTCAGCACTTTCACCTCACTCACACATAATCACTGTTTTTGCAGAGCTGCCCAGAATACAACAGTTTAGAAGTATATACGTGTATGTATAAAAATACACAATATATCCCTCCAAACTGCCAATATCTCAAACCCCTCCTTTAGAGTGCAGGCATTGTACCTCCCATTTCCAAGACTCAAGTCCGGTTATTTAAAATAACCAGTTTCCCTGAATCCCTTCACTAAATATTACCCTGCTCACACTCCAATAGCTCGTCAGGTCCCAAATACCATTTGTCTCCTTTCACTCCTATCTAACACACTCGTGTACACTTGCTGGAAGTCCAAACCCCTCGCCCACAACACCACCTTTACCCCCTCCCTCCAACCTTTTCGAGGACGACCCCTACCCTGCCTTCCTTTCCCTACAGATTTATACGCTCTCCATGTCATTCTACTTTAGTCCATTCTCTCTAAATGACCAAACCACCTCAACAAACCCTCTTCAGCCCTCTGACTAATACTTTTATTAACTCCACACCTTCTCCTAATTTCCACACTCTGAATTTTCTGCATAATATTTACAGCACATATTGCCCTTAGACAGGACATCTCCACTGCCTCCAACCACCTCCTTGTTGCAGCATTTACAACCCAAGCTTCACACCCATATAAGAGTGTTGGTACTACTATAATTTCATACATTCCCTTCTTTGCCGCCATAGATAACATTTTTTCCCTCCACATATACCTCAATGCACCACTCACCCTTTTTCCTTCATCAATTCTATGATTAACCTCATCCTTCATAAATCCATCCACTGACACGTCAACTACCAAATATCGGAAAACATTCACTTCTTCCATACTACTCCTCCCCAATTTGATATCCAATTTTTCTTTATCTAAATCATTTGATACTCTCATCACCTTACTCTTTTCTATGTTCACTGTCCACTAACCTAATTATTATTATTATTATTATTATAATAATAATAATAATAATTAATAATAATTATTATATTATTATATTATTATTATTATATTATTATTATATTATTATTATTATTATTATTATTATTATTATATTATTATTATTATTATTATTATTATTATTAATAATATTATTAATAATAATATATATTATTATTATTATTAAATGAGATTGATAGTTTTTAAATAGCATTTTATAATACTTTGTTAATTATGACTACTTTTCTAATAGGAGAACAATAAATTGCCACCTCTCTACACCCTGGAAGAGGAGATGGAGCAAACCGAAGCAATCTTGGATGACATTTCAGGTGGGGTTCGAACACTGTATAAAATTTTCTGTTAATGCACACAGTATCATTTCTTTGCTGACTTGATGTTTGCTAACTATTGATTATTATATTTCACTGACACTTCAGTCTTTTTGCTATTTGAGTTATTAATATAAAGCAGTTACTTTTATGAAGCTGTTAGCAAACACAATTTCCAATTAGAGCACCTCGTTCATTTGCCTTATTCGTAATAACTAAAGGGATAGTGGTATGTTTAAACTTAGTGTGGTGGGAACGTTATGCAGAAAATTTGGCATGTAGAAATTAGAATATAGTGAGGGGTTACCAAAGGTATATATCACAAGGGCTGAGGAGGGCTTGTTGAGGTGGTTTGCGCATTCAGAGAGGGAGCTGGATAGGATGACGAGGGTGGAATAAATCAAGGGTGAAAGGAAGGAGGAATAAGGGTCACCCCAGGAAAGGTTGGATGGGAGATGGGTGGGTTAAAGGAGGTTTTGAGTATTGTGAGCCTGAGCATTCAGTAGCCTTACATGAGCATCATAGGTCAGATAGTGGAGACGAGTGGTTTTTCATGGTTTAACATGGGAAACTGGTTAGCCAGACCAGAGTCCTGGAGGTTGGAAGTAAAGTGCCTGCACTCTGGAGGATGGGTAAGGCTGTTGAAATTTGGAGAGCCACTTGAATTGAACATAAAGAAGGAACACTGCAACAGGCCTACTGGCCTATGCGAGGCAGGTCCAATTCTCCCACTGGCTTGAGCCAAATCTTTGACCAGACACATCACTTAAGGGAGGAACACTGCATCCGATCTAGTAGCACAAGCTAGTCAGGTCCAACTCACACCCACCCACACCAACTCGTGTATTTATCCAACTTATTTTTAAAACTACACAACATCTTAGTGTCTATGACGGTACTCGGGAGTTTGTTCCACTCGTCCACAACTGTTACTAAATTAGTTCTTTCCTATACCCTTCCTGAATCTGAATTTTTCCAGTTTCACGCCATTGCTGTGAGCTTGTCTTGTAGATGTTTTTAGCATGCTATTTACATCCTTTATTAATTCCTGTTTTCCATTTGTACACCTCAGTCATATCCCCCCCTAATTCTACACCTTTTTAGAGAGTGCAGAATCAGGGCTCTGAGTCTATCCTCATAGGGAAGATTTCTGATACATGGGATCAACTTTGTCATCCTCCCTTATATGTTTTCCAATGCATATATATCCATTCTGTAATAGTGACCAAAATTGTGATGTGTGTGTACTTCAGCAAACACAAATATTGATTGAATGAGAGTGATTGTGTTAACTTTTGTAGGTTACGTTGTCTTGGTTGAAGATGGCCGATATGTTGAAGTAAATTAAATAAATATATCACAAAGTAATGTAAAAGTTTTTTTTTTTTTTATAACATGGCTGTTTTCCACTGAGGCAGGGTGACCCAAAAAGAAAGAAAAAACTTTCATTAGTCATCACATTCACCATCACTCAAAAGAATAAATGTTTTTGCAGAGGTGCTCCAAACTACCAATATCCTAAACTGGCAATATCCTAAACCCCATTTCCAGGACTCTAGTCTGGCTAACCAGTTTCCCTGAATCTCTTCACAATATATTACCCTGCTCACACTCCAACAGGTCATCAGGTCCCAAAAACCATTCATCTCCATTCACTTCTATCTAACATGCTCATGCACGCTTGCTGGAAGTCCAAGCCCCTCACCCGCAAAACCTCTTTTACTCCTTCCCTCCAACCTTTTCGGGGATGACTCCTATCCCACCTTCCTTTCCCAATAGATTTATACGCACTCCAAGTCATTCTACTTTGTTCCATTCTCTCTAAATGACCAAACCACCTCAACAGCCCCTCTTCAGCCCTCTGACTAATACTTTTAGTAACTCCACACCACCTCCTAATTTCCACACTACGAATTCTCTGCATAATATTTACACCACACGTTGCCCTTAGACACGACATCTCACTGCCTTCAGTCGCTTCCTTGTGCTATGTTTTCCTAATTCTTCACTTGTCACAAATCTTTGAGCAGAGTTCTTCATGAATGTGATACATATTTTAAAATGCTTTTTTATAAATAAAAATCTGCCAGTATTCATAGTTGGTCCACATGGAGTATTGAAACTCATTGTGTATTTTAGCCTTTTATTTTTTAAGTGCCGACAGTCTCCCACAGAGGCAGGATGACCCCCCCCAAAAAAAAAAAAAAAAACTTTCACCATCATTCACTCTATTACTGTCTTACCAGAGGTGCACCAATACTGCAGCTCAGATGCCCATTTTGTTTAACCCTTCTTTGGTGCATTTGCTCAACATTCATGCTACAATAAAAAAAAAAAATTGTTTGGGCCAAATGATTTGTTGCTAGTTTTGTTAAGTAATGTTTGGTAATGTATGTATATTTTAAAAGTCCTAATCACTGTCTAAATTTCTGTGAAATTCTCTTCCTCAAACAGAGAAAGGATATTACAGAATCTACTCATTGGATCAACTCTTCATGCACTTGTATTCCAGGACATTCCCAGAGCATCCTATTCCTCAGTCCATTGCTAAAGACATGCTTACACATTGTGGACTAGATTATCATCCTTCTATTGCTTGTGAGGTATGTTATTCTTTTTTGTACTAGTGTATCATAAAAAATGAAAGCAATGTTAACAGTATTGTCATTATTTTTAAATGCAGTAGGTATGGGTTTTGTCAAAAGTGAATCATTTTATAATGTGAACAGTTTCATCTCAAATTGTTAACTTGGGGATCATAAAGAGGTCTGAGGCTTTTGCTTTTATGAATTATGATTATCACTTGTACGTACTTGCTGAATCTGTCAGTTTGTGTATCATCTCGAGTAGATCCATGCTCCTAGTGCCCCATTCGGGACAGAAGAAATGTCAAGAGCTAGAACAAATTCAGAGATCATTTACGGCCTGCATGGACCCAATAAAGCATTTAAATATGTACATACTTGCTGGAGCAGAGGAAAAATGCGGTGGAACCTCAGTACTCAAACAGCTTCCTACTTGAACAATTCAGTATTCAAACACTGTTCGGTAAAAAAAATCGCACAAAAATCGACTGTTTGCTTGGCACTTGACCAAACAAACATGACCTGCCAGAACATCAGTGTAAACTATTTCATGTTTCTTTGCATTTTTGATGTCTTTTTTTTATATTAGTGATACCTTGACTTGCAAGTTTAATTCGTTTCGTGACCCAGCTCGTAACTCAATTTGCTAGTAGTATATTAAATAAATTTTACTCATTGAAATTAATTGAAATGCCGTTAATCCATTCCAGCCCCCCAAAAAACACCCCAATTTTTTTGTTACGGGTTTTTAAATAAAAAATACGTGTTTATAAATAAATGATTTTTGCCTTTTTTGCCAGGTCCCAGCAATGTTTTAGAAATGCTGGAGTATATATGCAACTCCTTGAAGCACGGTGTAAGATGAGCGTCACTCCACTGCTGACATTGCAGCAGTGAAGTGACATTTGATGATCGTGCAGTGCCTTGGCTTTATTTTTCACTGTTACATATAAACATGGCTATCTGTCTGTGTGTCTTTTTGTTTCTATCTATTTGTCTATGTTTATCTCTGTCTGGTTATGTCTTGATCTGCCTGTGTTTGTCTTGTCTCTCTACTTATCTCTGTCTCAGAGAGCCACTCATGAACCAACAGGTATTACAAACAATGCACAGTCGTCACATCTGATTCCTGATCAAGTGAAAATGTGTATTACTTGCCAGTCATGCTATTATGCCTTATATCTACAAGCTTCCCGTTTCCAGGACTCGAGTCCGACTATAAGAAAATAACCGGTTTCCCTGAATCCCTTCACTAAATATTACCCTGCTCACACTCCAACAGATCGTCAGGTCCCAAGTATCATTCGTCTCCATTCACTCCTATCTAACACGCTCATGCACGCTTGCTAGAAGTCCAAGCCCCTCGCCCACAAAACCTCCTTTACCCCCTCTTTCCAACCCTTTCGAGGACGACCCCTACCCCTCTTTCCTTCCCATATAGATTTATATGCTTTCCATGTCATTCTACTTCGATCCATTCTCTCTAAATGACCAAACCACCTCAACAACCCCTCTTCTGCCCTTGACTAATGATTTTATTAACTCCACACCTTCTCCTAATTTCCACACTCCGAATTTTCTGCATAATATTTACACCACACATTGCCCTTAGACTTTAAAGGAGGGGTTTGGGATATTGGCAGTTTGGAGGGATATGTTGTGTATCTTTATACATATATGCTTCTAAACTGTTGTATTCTGAGCACCTCTGCAAAAACAGTGATTATGTGTGAGTGTGGTGAAAGTGTTGAATGATGATGAAAGCAATAATGTTGAAGGATAAGCTATGGCAGGAAAAGAGGGACTATAAATGTATTAATTCAAGGATTATGTGGAGTAAAATAAAGATTGGATGTGAAAAGTGGGTTATAATAAGCGTGTATGCACCTGGAGAAGAGAGAAGTGTAGAGGAGAGAGAGAGATTTTGGGAAATGTTGAGTGAATGCGTGGGGAGTTTTGAATCAAGTGTGAGAGTAATGGTGGTTGGGGATTTCAATGCTAAAATGGGTAAAAATGTTATGGAGGGAGTAGTAGGTAAATTTGGGGTGCCAGGGGTAAATGTAAATGGAGAGCCTTTAATTGAGCTATGTGTAGAAAGAAATTTGGTAATAAGTAATACATATTTTATGAAAAAGAGGATAAATAAATATACAAGGTATGATGTAGCACGTAATGAAAGTAGTTTATTAGATTATGTATTGGTGGATAAAAGGTTGATGGGTAGGCTCCAGGGTGTACATGTTTATAGAGGGGCAACTGATATATCGGGTCATTATTTAGTTGTACTACAGTTAGAGTAAAAAGGTAGATGGGAAAAGAGAAGGTGGCAACAAGAAGTAAGAGGGAGGGAAAGTGTAAAACTAAGGGAGGAGGAAGTTCGGGTGAGATATAAGTGACTATTGGCAGAAAGGTGGGCTAGTGCAAAGATGAGTAGTGGGGGGGTTGAAGAGGGTTGGAATAGTTTTAAA